GGTGCTGCTGATGATTTTAATGATGATTGTGGTGGTGGGCGAGGCGATGATGGAAATTGGGAAAGAAGAACGCCCGAGGCAACCCCATCAACATCATATTGAATTGAATGATGCCCTTTTGGTTTTGGCAGCTTACTAAAGGAATATTTTTATCTATATAGAATGGAGTCTCCATAATTGCTCAATTAATGCATGCCTCCCGGTCTTGTTAATTTAAATTAAAAACCCTCATTTCCATATAATATGTTTAACATAATTTAAATTTTACATTATTATATAGTTTAGACGGGTGAGTTAGTTTTATTATAAAGTATTTTTTATAGATTTGAAATTATGGGGGGAAGGGAATGGAAAAAGAAAGTGGTGGCGATGGTTGACGGTGGATGTTGTATTTTAGTGGATTCAGGTTACATTATAATGGCAAGATTTTGAAAAATCCGCCGCTCCACTACAACAACTGCTGCTGCCTTCCCTTGTTCTAAATTTAATCAAACCAACGAAAATCTTATTCTCATAGTATATATATACTATATGCTATTGCTATTGTTATCCTAATATTTCTTATTCTCTGTTATTATTTAGGTTAAAATACCGCTCTATTTTTATACTTGATTTATTTTAGTTCTTGTATTTTGAAAATGTTTATTTTGGTCCTGTACTAAAATGATCATTTTAGTCCCTTTTACAAAATTTTAATACAAATTTTACACATAACGGAAACTATTTTGTATAAAGTAATGTTTACATTATAAGAAATATATTGATTGTAACATGGTGTTGAAATTGTGATAAAAAAATAGATTTAAAATAAAATAAAAGAATCAAAATGGTCATTTTTTAAGAATACATGGATCGGAAGGAACGTTTTCAAAGTACATGGACTAAAATGAACCAAAGTTGAAAGTATAAGACCAAAACAAACATTTTAACGGTATAAATATTAAAATGAAACAAAACTTAAATTACAAGAACCAACTAGGATTTTAACCTATTATTTATAATTAGTCTGATAAAATTGTTGTTCAGTCTCTTTAATTAATCAACTATCATACCCTACTAGACTCTTCTAATTTCAGAATTGTAATTGACTGAGTTTTTTTTTTTTTTTTTTCCCTTCTCGATCTCTAGGTCGATTAATAATTAATTCCATGGACAACGACGTTAACATTATCGAAAAGAAAAACTAGCGTACGGTATTCAATTTGATTGAAAGGGAATTTTAATTTATACAAGTATATGAAAAATCATATGGATAAAAAAAATATGTATGTATAATTTAAATGAATGGAAATTTATAAATTTATGAGGAAATTAAATTAATTGTGAGATGGAGATGATGGGGCAGCATGCATCAACATCCTTGGGTTGGGCGTGTCGTATCTTTATACCCTAAACTAAAGAGACATAAAAAGGTTGGTTGGAAATTTGGAACCGAAGGTTACATGTGTTCCGTACACCCAAATTTCTTTATGCCTATGATTCATATATTAATTCTCATTCCGACATATAATATAGTCCAATGACTCATCCATATATAATTATTATGCACACGTTTCACGCCTTTTTCTTCACCTCTCTCCTTCCACCTTTCCCCCTCCTTCCCATTAAATTATTTAAGTTACATTAACTTTACCATATATAATTTTTTAGAAAATTTTAAAACTAACGCGTTCAATTTTACGTCTAATAATTAATAAATTAAGTTTTGGTCGTTCAGTAAAGTAAAGAAAATCATGTATCCCATTTTGTAGTATATAGATATGTATGTGAAACTTTTTGAACGGCATAGTTGAAATGGGTAATACCAAATTAATGTGTAATTAATGATATAATGTCAATATCTTTAATTTGTAGTCACCGCCCAATTCCCTTCCCTCAAATTTGTCAACTCTGTTTGTTTTATTTATTGCTTCGTTTTTGGTCAATTACAACTCTTTAGTAATTAAGATGGTACGACTTTAAACAGAGATCAATAGTCATCAATTTGATGTATATATTAAGAAGGTCTCTCTCGTTTTTATTCTTTTTTTGTTTAAACCTCATTTATACTCTCAAAACGTCTATTTTGATCTAATTTAATAAGTAAAATGTAGTGGTAAAATATCATTCTGTAATTTGGCGGTGGGAATATATTGAAAGGATTTTGGTGATTTGGTGCGTAGGTGTTGGGAGTGTGGGATGAGATTAAAAGTGGAGACACAGAGACATATATAATAAAGGGTAAGGAGGCAGGGGTTTGGTTGTGTAAGAAACAAATAATTAGATGGAATAAAAAATAAAATTTCTTTCGAATAAAGCGCATTGATGAGACATTATCTTGGTCTCCTTCGTGGGTTTCAACCCTAGCCTTCCTGTTCCCCACTACTCTCTTCGCTCCCTTCTTAACCTATATTACATATATCATCTTCACATCATAAATATCAAATATAACACACATCTAAATCTACTAGGATATGCTTTCTCAACCCTTTTTTTTGTTACACAATTTCAATCAACACAACTTTTTTCTCTTTCAGTATTTCTTTTTATTCTCCCCCTTTATATATCATTAATTTTAATACTTTCATAAATGGTGTAATATTGTCTATTTTGGTCATAGGTCAATGAGTCCCTTTTTTCTTTGATGGATGTGGAATGTGGAATTTTGTTTGCACTCATAAAAATATTTTATTTCAACCCATTCTAAATGGGAAATAGAAATATGCTCTATTTGTGTATTATTCAATATAATTAACATTTACATTGGAGAGAATTTTTTTTTCTTTTACAATACACGTCAAACTATTGTGAAAATGGTGACTATTTTAAATAGTTTCTATGTCATCGTCGAAATTTTATGTCAAAGGTCACTTTTTTATGAGTCTAATAATTTTAAAATGTCAGTAGTGTTCTTAATACAACAAATAGCACTTTTATTGTCAATTAATCCAAAATGTCTCATTCATTATTTCCTTTACCCTAATTACGGGTTGCACCTAATTTACTACAACATGTAGGGTGAAGATTTGAATTCACAATCAAACTCCCATTTTTTTTGTTGGAGATAGGTGTTTAAACTAGTTGAATTATGTTCGGGTTGACAACTGTAATTATATTAATCATAATAGATGGTAATATTTGTTGAAAATAATCTACAAATATGGCAATTTTTTCCAACAATCTCAAGTTTCTCTCATTAATAATGTATATTACATCATTAATATTCTATTTTTGTATCATCAATATATCACTAATATATTAATATAAATTAGTATATCATTGATATACAATTTTTGTACCGGTGGTAAAATTATCATTAATATATCTAATAAGGAGTTCTTACATTTGTATCGTTCTTTGCAAAATAATAGGACGAATCTGCTCTGCTATTAAGTCCCTACCATGGCCTGATAGGCAAGTTGGATTTGCTCGGTCAAGCGGGGCTCAGCTCAGCCCTTAAGATCGAACCAGAGCCCAGCCCAAAAGAAGTAAGCAGATGGTAAGAATGGGCCAGATGTAAATAACTTTAGTATGGGCCTTCGGCCCGGCCCACAAAATTCATTTGCGGCGCGTGTAGAGTGTGCACGACCTCAGCTGATAAAAATTCACATTTTCCGGAATGGCGTGGGATCGAAGCAACGGATATTCCAATTTAAAAATAAATTAATAAAATTATTTCAAGAAAGAGAGAGAGCGGAATAAGATTTATTGACTATTTTATCAATTTTGATAATTTTCAATATCCACATATTGAAAGATGTCTGAGAGCATGAGGCTGCATGAAAACTAGAGATAAATAATTTTATGTAATATTGATAAAAACCCTAAAATAGTCATTTAGTTTGGTTTTTTGTTAATAAAAAAGTATTTATTTGGGGAAAACGAATAACGTGCCATTCTATTAGGAGGGGATCCTATTGGCATATAAAAGCGGGTGCGAAGCCAACTACCAAAGTGGTGCCTAAATTCTTGGGCGGCGCCGGAGAGATTAGAAAAGTCAAGGCACGGCGGCGAGGGAGCGAGATGAAGGCGGAGACGGTGACGCTGGTTCTGGTGAACCTCGCCGGAGTCATGGAGAGGGCCGATGAATCTCTCTTACCAGGCGTCTACAAAGAGGTCGGCGCTGCCTTGCACACCGATCCTACTGGTCTCGGCTCGTTGACTCTCCTCAGATCCATTGTGCAGGCCTCTTGCTATCCCTTGGCTGCATACTTGGCTGTGCGCCATAACCGAGCCCATGTTATTGCCCTCGGCGCGTTCCTCTGGGCGGCTGCTACGTTTCTCGTCGCCTTTTCCTCTACTTTCCTTCAGGTTCATCCAATTCCACTTTTACTCGTGAATTTATTTTTTATTTCACCATTTCTTAACCCTAGATTATGCTACGTTCTTCATCGCGTTGTTTTAGTCGCGCCAATTTTGTTTACTCGGCTTCGCTTGATTGTGTCTTCTCTGCCGGATATTCTGTTTCGTATTGCGTGGGGTAATAACGAATGTAATCTTTGGTCTATTACTCGAATTGATTAGTTAAGAAATTATTTATCTTCTAGGATTACTGAAGGTAAATCGTCAAAATGGGAAAGGTTGAACAGTGACCATTAAATGGTCCTGGAATGAGTAAAAATAATAAGCCTTGGCAGTTTTGAGTGAGGCGTGATCTTTTGCTCAATTCTGGTTGGAAATATTCTTTATGCAGCTAATCGCATCATGCAAAGTTCACCACGGGCAAAATTACGATGCCAATTACCTGGAAGCCAGCATATAGCGCTGAATAATGTGAGATCATGGAGATTTCGATTCTAGAATTTTTCTCGACTCTGAATCACGTGAAATATGAAATCAACGACTACTTTATCTCTTATTGTGCCATTGAAACCGTGACAACTGATAAGTACTGGCATATTAGGAAGTTAGTAAGAAATTGGGGACCGAGAAAAAGATTCAGACTTAGTTTTGTGATTCAGTGGACTAGTTGCACTCTTTACTAATTTTGTACCATGCTTATATGTTCTGTTAGATGGATGGCTCGGAAGCCAGTTGCCTTTGGTAAATAAAGAAATTGATACGAAAAGCTCAGACCATAGGCCTTTTATGTGAAAGATGATTATATTTTTGGGAAGCATGAAAGTTTTGGATGATTTGTTGATGTAAAGTTGACTATGAAGTAAATCACTATTTTTCCTAACACGTCATGGTAAAAAGCATCTTCACTATTGTGCATTATTTATTTCCAAATTCCAATCTTGTGAAAATGTACACTATGGGGAGGATGGGAAGCTGTACAGACTCGGACAACAAATTTTTAATTTCCAATGGCATTTAGAAACTGTGTTAGAACTTGAGCAAGTCAATCTTTTAGAAGCTTTTAACTTTTTTAGTTGTCATTGTCAGTATACTAGCGTGTGGCAGATTTATCAATGCTGTAATTACAAGTACATCTATTCCTTTGAATATTAGCTGATTATAAGTCATTCAGATTGTACCTAACAGGTTGCTGTTTCCAGAGCATTGAATGGAATTGGCCTTGCATTAGTTGCACCTGCCATCCAGTCCCTTGTAGCAGATTCAACAGATGACAGTAACCGTGGTGTGGCTTTTGGATGGCTTCAACTGACAGGCAACCTAGGCTCCATTATTGGTGGGCTGTGTTCAATAATAATAGCTCCAATGACATTTATGGGAATCCCCGGTTGGAGAATTGCATTTCATCTTGTTGGACTAATCAGTGTTTTCGTTGGCATTCTAGTCCGTTTCTTTGCACATGATCCACATTTTTCAGATGACGGCACAAAGACTAGCAATCATGTCCCACCCAATAATTCTTTTTGGTCTGAAGTGAAGGATTTGGTTCGGGAATCCAAGTCAGTTATGAAGATTCCATCCTTCCAAATCATAGTGGCACAAGGTATCACGGGGTCATTTCCCTGGTCAGCCTTGTCATTTGCAGCAATGTGGTTGGAGCTCAAGGGCTTCTCCCATGAGAAGACCGCTTTCCTTATGGGCATGTTTGTGGTTGGAAACTCTCTGGGAGGCTTGTTTGGAGGTAAAATGGGTGACATCCTCTCCACACGTCTCCCAAACTCTGGGAGGATTATTCTGGCACAAATCAGCTCAGCCTCAGGCGTTCCTCTAGCTGCAGTTCTTCTGCTCTTCTTGCCTGATAGCCCATCTACGGCATTTGTCCATGGACTAGTCTTGATCATTGTGGGGTTTTTCATATCTTGGAATGCTCCAGCTACAAATAAGTAAGTGTCATATTAGCCATCATCTATCTCAGTCTATATGAGGAAAGGTAGTTTTCAGGTGAGGCAATTACATGGAAATTGAAAAGGCTAATATCTAGTTTCCCTTGAAAGAAAATTGATCGATAAACAATTTTTCCTTCGAACAATACGTTTTTCCCAAAACTAAAAGAATCCTAGTTTGGTAATTTGGGCTCCTAAGCCAACTAATCTTGCCCAGGATCTGGAAGGACCTAAGTTTTATGAGATAACAAGCACGGCCTAGAGAACAATAACCATCATTAGCAATGATAGGATATTGATTATGAACGATATCTAGAAAAAGTACATAAAGCATAGAATGTTAATACAGCTTGAAAATAGAAGGGATAACAATAGAGTTTTTTACTTAAAATCATGATTTGATTTGATTTTTTGCAGTCCCATTTTTGCTGAGATCGTTCCTGAAAAGTCTCGAACTAGTGTCTATGCTTTAGATCGCTCCTTTGAGTCTATTTTGTCATCATTTGCCCCTCCTGTTGTTGGACTTCTGGCTCAACATGTCTATGGTTATAAGCCCGTTCAAAAAGGATCTAGTGAATCTGAAGAGATTGCCACAGATAGGGGGAATGCAGCATCATTAGCCCGGGCATTGTACACAGCAATAGGAATTCCATTGGCTCTTTGTTGTTTTATTTACTCATTTCTATACTGCACCTACCCAAGAGATAAAGAACGAGCTCGTATGGAAGCTTTAATTGAATCAGAGATGCAGCAAATAGAATCTGAAAGTCCATCTTCAGGTGCTGGATACTCTCAAGTTCATTTTGCAGAGTCAGACGAGCTATATGCTAGGGATAGAACAGTCATTGATGTGGATTATGAAGAAGAGGACGATCTACATTTTGATGATGATGAAAAGGCAGCTCTTTCTCGCCAGTTGACATTTGCAAATTTTGTCAAACACTAGCCTTCCAAGGGGATGTAATCTGTTGGTGTAGCTTTTTAACTCGCAGGAAACCAAAAAGTGAAACTCCATTCCACATATATCGGTCTCGACCGTCCTGGAGTATTATAACTCAAAACAGAAGGTGAAATATTCATTGAAGAATTATGATGAGTAGCTATTCTTCAGTTCAGTTTAAGAACTAGAGGGGAGCCTCCTTGTAGCAGAGTTTGTGGATAGTCATATAGGCCTCTGCTGTTGTACAAGCTTATGTTCAACCAAACGTGTACATTGAAATGAAGGTCGGCTCCTCCTATAGGTTTAATACACATGCTTTTCTTCTAATTTGGTTTCACTGTGGGAAGGAATCTATTAAATTTGTCATATATTACACTATATTCTTATTTATTGGGTGAGTAGCAGAACAAGCCTTTTTCCAAACTTTTCTTGGAACCAAAAAACGAACATGTTTCTGGTTCCTACTTTTCTGGAGAAAATTTTACAGGTCTCGTCTCTCTGTTCTTTATTTATATTCCAGAATGTATACAGGTTCTTTAGAAAACCAGATTAGCCAGCAAGGGCTTCGATTGTGTTGGTGATGAGAGGAATTCTTCTCAGGAGCAGAATAAAGGCAAGCCTCTCCCTCTTAAATACTTCATTCAGATTTTGATTTTTTTCCCCACCCCACCCCACCACACACATGTACAAATTATAATTTTTTCAATTCAACAAGTTTATTAAAATTTTAAATTTTATGTTTGCACATCGACAAGCAATGCTGATTATAAATGGAAAAAACTTGACTCTTTAGAGTTGAGGAACTTTCTCCTTTTAACACCATCAAATGTTTGATAGCCCAGAGAGATAAGTGTAAAAATAATAAAAATAATGAGTTGTCAAATATTTAATAGAAATTATATCATTGTATGCTTATATGTTACTTATATATATGAATTTGAATAGGTTAAAAGGCACAATGTTTAGTTTATGAAATTTGATGATTTTGAGTCTATTTAGGTTCTTGAAAGTTAAGAGTAACATGCCTATTGGAGGGTAAGGCTAGTGAGATAATCATAATATTAGGGTGGGTGGACCAATAGTTCTGGTTTAAAATGTATTTTGTATGTCAATTCCATTGAATTTTATGGCTCGTACAACTGCACAAGGGAATAGGCTAGTGTGGGTGGACCAAAAAATTTGGTTCAAAATGTATCCTATATACTCATTTCCTATGACTTGGCCACTCTTATTTTATTTAGGTAGCATTATTCTTCAGATTATTACTTGTTAATCTTTTTTCTTTTATAAAATTTTATTGGTTTATTCATCCAACTAACATGCCATGGTAACGTTGAGTAACAACGTCGGTAATAAGAACACTAGAATTAAAAGATAAAGTTTAAGGATATATTTAAATTTTATGTTTTTAGGTTAAAGAGACTAAATAGATAGTGAGATGGCTAACAAAAGTTACCTAGAGTAAATATATAAAGTAACTATTTAAGTATAAAAAAAAGAATTATAACTTATTTCTGTGATTTTACACAATTTCTATAAAAAGTTTGTCAGTGATATTTTTATTGTCATTTCACCCTTCGAGACCTTAATATTGACATTTAACTCATTAATTATAATAGTCACTATAACTAAAAATTACTTTTACAATTAAGACATCGATATAGGTTCATTTTTTAAAAAAGGCATGACAGTGAATTGATTAGTATGTAATATCAATTAGTTGTTCTCATTAACAATATGTGTGTGTGTATATAAATTTATTGTGGAGACTTGTGATCATGGATATATGATAATTCAAGCATCTAAAACTTCGTAGGTCATCCAAAAGTGTAATTCTTCAAAATACTATTTTTTTAAATAATAAAAGTAAAAAAGCTTTAGTATTGAAGAGGCAAATATTGGGGTTATTTTCATAAATATGAAATACAGTTATAAATATATCTATTTTAAATTTCTATGTACAACCGGAACGTAATAAAAATTCATTTTCTAAACTTTCCCACTCAAATTTCAGCAAGCTGGAATAGCTCAGTTGGTTAGAGCGTGTGGCTGTTAACCACAAGGTCGGAGGTTCAAACCCTCCTTCTAGCGTTTAGACATTTTTTTTAATCATATATCGGTTGTTTAAAAGTTTTAATTGTTTTTATCAAGCAAGATAACAAGAAGCTGGAATAGCTCAGTTGGTTAGAGCGTGTGGCTGTTAACCACAAGGTCGGAGGTTCAAGCCCTCCTTCTAGCGTTTTTCCATCCTTTTTGTCAAATTGTTGTCATTTTTTTTTATGAGTTAGTTATTATTAACGAATTTTAGTACCAAAATGCTGGAATAGCTCAGTTGTTTACAAAATGATTCTAATAACTCTAATGTCAGGAGCTCAAGCCCTTCTTAAGTTGTTCACACTCCTTTTGCGTTGGAATTTATCTTAATTTTTTCTCTCCGCACTAAATAATCTAGTAGAGGCTATAAAGAAACAGAAGCTAAAAGATTTAGATATATTATGTTACAAACAGATGAAGGGCAGCCAGCAGCCAAACACCGGCGCATTAGTGTGGCAGACAACATTAACCACCAACTTTTGAACTTTTTTAATAAACCAAAATGACTGCGGGAGAAGGATTGGGAACCACCAGAAAACCAAATGTTTAGCTGGGTTTTGTAGCAGAGATCATTACAAAGAGCCTATTTCTTACACACCTAAAGCCGACTAGACCACAGGCCCTGCAAAGTTCTTCTAATTCACGTTCAGATAATACGATGTGGCTCCCTGTTATCTGCTTTACACGCTGTTGGTGTGATATTATAGGAGTAAGAAGAACAAATCAGAGTTATATTACAGAAGTAATATGAATCTCACAGCATAAAGCAATTGTTGACAACTTGAGTAGAGGTGATTGTTTTGATTGACAATCCAAATAGGATAAGCAGCGTGTAAAAGTAAGATATAATTCACTAAGCAAGCAATCTACGAAATTCCCAGAAGTTTTAGAGGTGAAATTAAAATAATTGCGAACATACCTCTCTTTGAGTCCCCAAAAATGGTATAAAAGAAAACGGCCCATCGGCTATGAAGGTGCTGGCAACAAACACTCCTCCAGGTCTTAAAATTCTACTTATTTCAGCCACCTGCAAGTCCACATCCACATGGCACATAGTTAATAACTAAAAGCCTACCCATTGATTATTTTGGTAGGATGGATCTATGGTACAATTATAGTGATAGGTAATGTTACACATCAGCACGTGCTGGCAGATACACACATTTCACACCCATACACAGAAGCAAAGTTAGATTTGCTTTGAAGATGAGAATAATCATATCACTCTAGTAAAAAGGCAATTAGCCATTAATAAACTGCAGCTCGTCCAGTGTGTTTTCAATTAGTGCAATTATAAAAAGTTGATTACAAGCCGAGGAGCTATAAGCCCCAGGTATAGATGAAAAGCTACTCACAGCAGCTGATGGTGAAGGCCAGCAGTGCAAAGCAGCACCGGCATGCACTGCATCAACAGAATTTGATGCAAATGGAAGCCGAGCAATATCAGCTCTGATCAGAACCAAATTCCTACGAATAAGAAGAATCTGTTTAGATGTAAAAACTCAAACAACAATATAAATATAGGGCAGAAAGATCCTTGAACTATAGCAATTGAACTACCGCCAAATAATGTAATAAGAAACTACAAGGAAATACTATTTACTCTCTGGGGAAATTTTCCTCTTGTTGAATGAATTCATAGCACTGCTTCAACATGTTCTCCGAGTAGTCCAAAGCAACAACAGACGAAAATAGCCCACTCTTGGCAAAGATTCTTGAAAACAATCCACTTCCACAACTTGCATCAATTATGTTTCCACCTAAGATCGGTGTCATGAAAGTTCTGATCAACTCAAACTGCAACGAAATCATCACGTGCTCAGCATTCACAACCATGTGTTGAATGAAAACTGTCAACATCACCATTGTAAACATGAAAAGAGAGACGCGTTCTGATAAGAAATCACTAAACTCTGTCTCTCTCTGACTTAGCATTTTCAATTGGTATTAATGGACTGATCCATCTCCTAATATCGAACCTATAACTCACCAACTGACATTAAGTAAAAAGTACCATGTGAACAATTCTATATTGAAGAGAGATAAAAGAGCTAACATCACCTCCGTCTCTGGGCCAGGAAAACCAAGGGCTACACTAAAGCTTTGACGCCAGCCCCTCTCATAAAGAAAAGACACCAATCTAGTCCTGATCCAACAAAAAGCTGATAAAAATGAGAGGAGAAACAAAGGGGAAGAAGAGAAATGACAAGAATGTCAACCCAACACCCGAAAGTTCATTTTTCTCAATACAACTAAAGGCTACCAGTAATATTCTAATTCCACATAGCAAGGAATTAAAATAATTTAGAAAATAGCCCAAACCTATGCAAATCCCAGGTACGGTTGATCAATATGTCCTATTGTATTGGATATGTAGGGAATGGTATACTTCCCGATTATGTATGCCAACAGAAGTGACATATTAATTTGGTATTTAATAATGCGTTAAACCACTAAATGATAATATCAGCATCTGTTTCGTCATTCTGGATGTAAAGGGACTTCTACAAATACTGATTACGATAAACAAAAAAGGACAAATGAAACCATAAGAAAATTCAAATCATAGTACAAGTAACTTTATTATTTCCATTTTCGGAGGCGTCAAGGTAAGTACTATAGATTGGCGGCTCACAGCTTCTCAACACCAGAGATTACATAATTTCAACCAGGCGCAATCAAGTTTTCTATTTTTGAACAAGAGTGCCTTCTAATATAGAGCATAAAGATTTGAAAGTCTTTTGCATTTGAAAGTCTTAGTAACAATAAATATCATATTACCTAAAAATCTCCGTGGAAGCAGGCATGGGATCACCATAATTGTTATTTCCACTGGCTATCGTCAAGTCCAAATGAGTTCCACTACCAGTGAAAGTCTTTCTACATGTGCCACATTCCAATTGATATCCATTTGTGGACTCTCTGTATAAAAGCATTTAAGTAAATATTATAAATAGAAGAAATAAGAAAAGTAAAAATAGGCGCAGTTCCTAACATACACTGACAGGCCCGAACCAGCCGCCGCCGCAGTCAATGGGCCATAACATACGGAACAAGCTAAAATATTTTCAATGTTGTTGACTTCTCTGTCAAGTATAGAAGAGTCCTATACAAGAACCGGAAATTATTAGATAAAAGAAAAACGAAACGAACAAAACTAATTAAGTTGATAGGTTAGGTCAATTTACCTTTTTCCAGTATACTTTTATCACTCTTACGCGACACATAAATTCAATCATGTTCCAAACAGTATTCTTAACATCTTACTTCTCACCGGGGGTACATAAAGATTTAATTCAATTCGAACAATGTACAGCACAGCAACAGTTTATAACTACATATCCTCTCTCACTACCAGAAAACAATGTTCTCAAACCTTGAAGAGCTGATAATGTTTTGTTCACTGAAATCCTCACCTCAGTATAACTCGGTCCAATTCATATCCTCTCTTTTCTTTGCGTTTCTCTCAAAAACAAACCAGAGGACGTTACCGACTTCAGGAAAAAGAAGAGAATACAAACCGATGGCTGAAGCCTAGTGTCCATAGAGGCAATCGAAGAGGCTGGAACGGTTGAAGCGGAAATTCGTGTAGAAATGGATAGGGTGGGTGAATCGAAGTTGAAGAAGCAGCAGCGCCTGAAGAAACAGAGTCGAGTGGGGACGAAGGCCAACAACATGTGCTTTGCAACGACTGCAGCCATGCCCCGGCGCGGCGATCTGACACAGATACTTGGTTTTCTGAGAGTGAATCAGCTTCCACCACCACTAAGCTTCGCTTCGCTATGGACGGATGGCACTACTGCGTGATAGACAATTGTTCGCATTGGGTTGGATTGCAGTAGTCTTCGAAAGCATGGGCGGGGGCGGGGGAATAAACTTTGAAGTTCTGGACTCAATCTGGTTCCGGGGCCCACAAAAAAATGATTGGAATTTGGGGATAGCAGAATCCCCATTGCCCAATCCCCCGGTCCCACCCCCATATTATTCTCGCTTTGCAAATTAATAATTGAATAATGGGCAAACCACTTCACATCAAAATAAAATAAAATAAAATCTACAAGTAGATTAGTTTTGAAAGAAAATTTTAAAATATTGTAGTTTAAATCGAAAATTTAGAAATAATTTATTGGGTTAATAATTATTTATTAATCTTAGTCAATGGTTAGTCGAGAGTTATTATTATTCATTTAATAATTATAATAATGCACAAATTTCATGAGACGTTATGGTTTGTGGGAGTTTCTTTGGATTAATTTAACACATAGATGATTGATGGAATAAATTAATCTTTATTAACGTAAAGTAAACTATAAACGTACTCAAAAAAAAAGTAAACTATAAACAAAATACTCAAAATCAGTTGATGGTACAATTTTTAATTTTTTTAAAGCGGAAAATAGAGTAAAATAGTAAAAAGTAAAAAATACAAACACCAAAAAAAAAGGTTTGATTGCTGCATCCAAACAAGGTGGTACGGGTGAGTCTTCCAATAGGTTATTTTTCCAACGAATAAGTAACTGTAGGAGTGAAAGCTTCGTATAATTCGAAAAAGTAAGAGCAGCAAGGCCAAGTAAATAAAATACGAAAAAAAATACATAATTTTTTTAGGATTAAACAAAAGGATTTGCAAATAAAAGTGCTAATGCTACAACCAGTCCATAAATTGTTAAAGCTTCCATAAAAGCCAGACTAAGCAATAAAGTACCTCATTTTCTTATCATTAGGAAATGCTTAATAATATATTAACTTTATTTTTTTTAAGCTCAACAAAACCGATATAAAACCTAGTACCTTATCACTAAACTATATATTTTGATTGACTGTAGTACATTAACTGTCGTTACACATTAGGAAATATATGTCAACATTAACTTATTAAGATATCTTTTTCATTTCTTAAAGATTGGAGATTCAATCTCTGATCTACATTTGTACTAAAAGAAACTGTTAGGCTATATTTGTTTAAGTTGATAAGTAAATTAAACATTTAAGGTTGATTAAGCAAAGGTTAACTTGCTATTCAACTTTTAAGCATGCATCTATAACAATAACTAAGTCTCTAGACTTTAAAAAGAGTGTCTAATAGATCCCTAAATTTTGAATTTTTGTGTATAATGAGTCATTCAATTTTAAAAGAATATGATAAATGCTCGAATTAATTTTCTGACATGTTTGATATTTTTTAGAATGAACAGACCTATTACACATAAAATTGAATTTTGTGTCTAACAGAATCAAAACTTTCAATTTTGTGTCTAATAGAATTTTTTAAAATTTGACCAAAGACTATTAGATATAAAATTGAAAGCTTAGAAATCTATTAGGTACTTTTTAAAATTTAGGGGCCGTTTGTTTCGTGAGAATGCAAGATTCCGAACATCTGGATTTTCACTTTTGTTTTGTGGGAATGCAAAATATATCCAGATATCTCAAGATGTTCGGATATCCTAGGATGCTCGGGAGGCCGCATCCAAGTTGTTTTAGATGCCCTTTTGAAACATGAGTTTCTATAATTTCCATGTCCAGATGTCCTATGTTGACATTTTTGCCCTTTCATTATTTTTTTCATATATTTTTTTTATCAAATTTTTTGTTTTTATTTGTAATTTTATAGTTTAAAGAAATTAATGTACTCATGGACTAATAAATAATTTTATGCAATTAAATTTTTTTTATATATTACATGTACATATAAAATAAACTTCAATTAAATTATATAATATTTCCATTTACTGTTAATATTTAGAAGAAATTATTATGAATGATATCTATTATCTTAAATACATAATTTTAAAGCAATTTTTTTTAACGATAACTTACATTTGATATTTTTCTTCTTAAAAAAATATAATTTGATAATATAATAAATGAATTTGACCTCATATAACATTAATTATATAATTGTATTTTGTTTTGAAAAATATTAAAGTTGAAAATTGAATTTATATTCAATATTAATTACTTTTAAAAAAGTCTTATATTAATATGAATTCTAATTAATAACATACAAAAATTAATATATATGCAATTAATATAAAAAACCAAAATATTAAATTATTTTTAAAAAAATCTATTACATAAATGCAAATTATATTAGATTAATGGATAAATTATATAAATATTCGTAAGGGCATTTTTTGAACATTATATAAATTTAGAACATTCCTGCAAAACATAAACGAGACTATCCAGATATTTTTAAAAAGTCAAACATCTAATTAATTCTAAGTATCTCCATTTCCAAAAAACAAACAGCCTGGACATATATATATTAGATGTGTAATCGTTAGTTCAAGAGCTTATTGGTGGGTTTGTTGACGATTGGGGGTACCCCCAAGGGGCTGAGGTCCCTCCCCCCACATGCCCCCTCCCCTCACATTTTGGAACGAATCTCGTAACATCGATTATAGTAGTGGGTGACCATTGACACCTATCAATTACAGAGAACCTCTAATATAAATCAATACAAGACATCGGTTTCGGGTTGTAAGAAATCTTGACTAGCTTTTGATAGCAATTGAACTAACCTCTACAATAGGTTTTTTCTCTCTCTCTCTGAGTACAACATGTAGGGGTAGGGATTCAAACTCTCAATCTCATAGTTGGATACATATTTCATAATCCGCTGAGCTAGTTGGCTACAATGACTTGTTTTATTATCTCATATGCTTGCTTGGAAGTAGATATGTATGCTAAGATTCCAGCCACTAGGTTCATTTAAAATCAATGATCTACCCCACTTAATTCAGTTAGATGATAAAGATTGGAATGTTGATCTGACTGCTCAGCTAATTTAGCAATGATAAAACGCTAAGTACCCAAAAGGGAACAAGCTGGGAAAATCAACACAAAATTCCAACGCTACAGGTTTGTTATTTGACATCATATAAATTTTGAACTCCTCTGCAACTTGGATTCAGATTACTAGAACGAGGAAGCTTCGTAATTACAAGAAGGTTTTCGTGATATATAAGAGAGATTTCTGACAGCAGAGTTCTCTCTTGCAACAAGTCACTGAAACTGTGGGACTTAAATGATGAAAGGGGGACGACAAGGCTTGGGTCGTTTAAGTGATGCCAAGTCCAATAAGAGGTTGAGGACGAAAGCTCAGGTAGTGTGATAAAGCAACCGTTTTCCGATGGCCATCCCCTTAACATTTATGCGAATTCATTATGAGTTAATGAAGGCAGGTAGGCTCTTTACTTGAAACGAATCCCCTTTTCCCTTCTAAGCATTTAATGACCTCACACACATCCCTTTTTGCAAACAATAAATCTTCTTCCTCGCCAACCCTGAATTTCAATTAACCCCATTCATTTCTAAACAAATCTAAATATAACTGAGATATCGAGATCCTTCAAAATTTACCCATATATATATAAGGGTTATAAAGACTAATTTAGCAAGCTGGGTTGTTTTTCCGGTTGAGGGTATGATGCATTGTGAAGTGATAATATGGTGATGTGAGGGTGGTAGATATATATTATATATGTGTGTGTGTGACGAGTAGAATTTGTAAGGTGAACGCAAATAAAGTCTCACATTAATTAGGAAGAAGGTGATCGTGGGAATATAAAACAGTACCCTCATGATTGTGGTTTTTTTTTTGTTCGTCAATCTTGACTGATACCATATTAATATTCATGGGATTCCATCTCAAAACCAATTGGAGTAGCCCATATCTATTATAAATCATTGTAAGTTCTCTTTTCTTTTCTTTCAATGTAGGGTCCTTAACAGATAGGACAATTATCCCCTCCATTGGTATACAACATTTTGAGTGAAACCAGAAGCAACAAAGTGGACAATATCATACCATTGTAGGACAATTATCATACCAATGTAGGGTCCTTAACAGATAGGACAATTATCCCCTCCATTGGTATACAACATTTTGAGTGAAACCAGAAGCAACAAAGTGGACAATATCATACCATTGTAGAGATACTCGGAATACTTAAGGTACCGTAAGTTGTCCTTATAGAGAGCTTTAAAAGTTTTTAGTTAATTGTGAGTGACCAAGTTGTGAGGAAGTTGGAGTTTAATTGACTATAATAAAGATCCTATAGCCACCCAAGACCATCCTTCAACTGCTTCTCGACTTCCCACATTAATGGCGGCTCTTCAACATACCCACCTTCCTCTTTTCCCCTTGTCACCGCCTTCATAAATACATACGAGATCAGCTGTGAGCTGAGCGTTCTAATTGGCGCTATATTAATTATCAGATTTATTATCAACTCTTTATCCACCTTCTTCCTGAAACTAATTTTCTTCTGTAGTTGGACTTCAAATAGCAGGCCGGGGTTGCGCAGGAATAATTAAGCTTAAGCGCCATCGAAATCAAGGTGGTTTGTTGGTGATTAAAGATGGAGAAACAAAGATTATAATGATGTGTAATTGATCAGTGTAGGGGAGTTGGTTAGGGTTTCACATCATGGAGTTAATTAGGGCTAGGATTGGAGTTTTGGAGATGTAAAAAAAGAGAGGAAAAAAATGGCCAACTCCATGCATAGGCAGTGGCAGGAGGAGGCCTTTATTTCAAACCTTTGAAAGCCCTGCCCCCAACTAGATTCTTCCTCGCAGTAATAGCTAACCTCATTATCGTCCATATATTATATGTAGCCTTTTTCACCCCTTTAACACACACAGTGATCGCAACCCTCTTGAAATCATCCTCTCTCTCTCTCTCTGCAAATCAAAAATGAAGAGAAAATGGGAAGACTGCCCACAAGCTGAAAACATAGATCAGTTTCCACCTGACATTGAGCTCCACCTTGAGACTCCATTACCTTTGGAGTGGCAACGATGTCTGGATATTCAGGTACTACTCAGAACGGATTTTCTTTTTCGTTAAATCACCACTAAACTCAACCGTTGTTCTCAACGTACGTACTCCCAAACTTACTCTTGTAAACTACCCCGAATTCCGACCTATGATTTTAATAGATTTCGAATATAAACCTCCCAACTAATTTAATCTTTTATTCATATTTTTTAACCAATACGTTCATACCATCGACATCGATGGTATCCAATTTGTGCGGTACAGTCGGGGCAGATACATTTCTACAACACGAAGACTCGGAAGAGATCCTTCAAGGATCCAAGAAGACCGGATCAGCCGCGGAGCAGCCCCGGCGAGGATGATCCCTTGAGCTTGGACCTTGAGCTCAATCTGAATTGCCAATCAAAGAAGAAGAGCGATGGGGTGATTATGTCTGGTTTGGGAAGAGGTTCGATACATGGTCCATCATGGCTAAGGTTGGAAAGAGAGGAACAAGCTGAGATGGTGGCCAGAGTTTGCATGCAGTGTCACTTATTGGTTATGGTTTTAAAGTCCTCACCGACATGCCCCAATTGCAAATTCATACACCCAATACCGACAGACCTGCAAATTATCCCTCCAACTACAACTACAACTACTTTGTTTATAGCCTCTCACCCTACCAAGGATCAAACCCAGTCTTTGAAACGTTTCTCCAACGCTATTCAAAATAAAGTCTGATTGTGTTTAGAGATTTAATTAGTATTTATATGGGGAGTTACGTTCAGTGTATTATCAGGGGAAGACCGGAGAGGCAGCTTTGTTTTCGAAAAATGTGTATTATATGGAAAAGGAATTACTCTATGTCAAGGGTGATCAATGCAATTGTGTGAGAGATCTTACTCAATTTTTCTAACGTCGTTTTTAACGTCTATGACCTTTTAAGTACATACGTATTTAAAGTTTCATTGGACTTAGGATTAATAGTTTGCGCTTTAATATTATATAAGGATGAACATTTTTTTAGTCAAATTATGTGTAGCAAAAAATTCGATTATTTGATTTTTTATCAATAATATGTCTTTAACAAGTTCAATTATATATATATATATATATATATATATTTTGACTATATAAAGATGTTTCAAATTTATCTAGCAACTTAATTAAAAATATAGTATATATATTTTGACTATATAAAGATGTTTCAAATTTATCTAGCAACTTAATTTAAAATATAGTTGTATATCTATTCATGGATCATGATGACAGCTGGCTAAGAAGACCAATCAGAAACTTCAAACTTTACCTGACCCACTTACATTTATAATAGAATCCGCAAGCCACAATAGGAGAACTATCTCCATTAATTAGTAACAATATCTAAAATATTTCTAAATTTGTGTATATAACAAGAAATTTTAGGGCAGCAGTTCAATTTTTTTAAAAAAATCTACTCCCCTGATATTTAGGATATAATTATTTATACTGTATTTTGTACTTTTAATAAGAGTCTCATAATGCTTGACTTTTTTTTTTATTATTGGAATTGTTTTAAAGTATTATTAATACTTACAGATATAATAAGATTAGTAATAAGTGGCATAATTAGTACTGATCATAGATAGAATGCTTTTTTTCTTTGGATAACTAAGTCCTAAACTCATTTTATTTTTTGGTTTTTAATTTTTTAAAATTCAGTTTATAAACATTATTTTTATTCTTCTATTCCTTTATTTTTATTTATCTACTTATTAAGAATGTTTTTAATATCTAAACCAAATTTTAAAAACTAAAAATTGATTTTTTAAGTTAATTAACTAAAAAATTTGTGTTTTTTAGAAAAGTAAAAACATACTAAAAAAAATTGGCCAAGCATAATATTGAAAAATAGAAAACTAAAAATAAATCACTATCAAAAAGCCTAATTAAGGATTTTGTTTAACAATCAGAGGTGGTTCATTGGTCTGAAGAGACTACGGTTAATTAAAAAATAATGGGTTCAAACCCCATGATAGCCAACATACCTAGTAATTCCTATGTGTTTTCCGGTACCAAATGGTAGGGTCGGGCGGTTGGATACTCATGGATATCACAAAAAAAAAATATTTCGTTTATATTCTATGTTTTTAACATTAGGTTTGTTATTCTTGCCATTTATCTATTTAACTTGTTTTTCCCTTTTTCAAAAATGCTTTTCAATTCTTAAATCAAATTTAAAATAATTATATAGTTTAGGTTTGTTATTCTTACCATTTATCTATTTAACTCGTTTTTCCCTTTTTAGAAATGCTTTTTAATTCTTAATCAAATTTAAAATAATTATATAGTTTTTTAAAATACTCTTTTTTTTTTTTGAGAAATTAAAATACTCTTTTTAGTTCTTAATATTTATTCTTGATTTTAAAAACATTTCTAAAAAGTATAATATAAATAGATAAATTATGAACAGGTAAGCTTTTTTTTTTTAAAGCGAAAAGCAAAAGCCAAAAATGGTTCATAATTTTCTAAAATTTCAAAAATCTCACTTGCAAATAATTTCAATAGAAACAATATAGGAAAAGAATGGTTAATCAAATCAACATGCTTAATTAGTTTTAATAAATGGAGAAACGCGAGAAACATGTGCGCGGCACGGCATGAATATATATATTGATTGCTTTTTCTCTTATTCCTAATTCCCCAACATTTCATAAAACTCAACACTATTGCCATTCTTTCTTATGGATTCTTGAGAAGTACGAGCTAGGTTACGAGAAATTACCTGCATTTTCCTGCTCCAAGCAGCGTAGACTCAGAGGAGATCATGGAGAAAGTAGAGGCGGAATCCAGAGATGAAGCAATGAGATCCAGAACCGCTTTCCGATGTGCAAAAGCAGCATTTGTGCTTTCTTCGCTCAAATCCTCCCAAAATCACTACCTCAGAGCCACTGTCTATGAAATAGTGAAGGTTTCAATTACATTCTATAATCAGTATCTGCGCACTCTTCTATTCGATTCAATTACTAAGAAACTTGATCGATTTTGAAAAATTGCGAATGTTAATTACCTTTCAGGAGAAAGAGAAGCTGAGGAAAACTTTGGGAGATTTGAAGGTCGAGTTGGCTAGGGAGCGTCTGAGGAATAAGAGGATCAAGCTCTGCGGTTTGATGGAATTCGTTCTTCAGATCCTGCTGGTGATAACTCTTTCGAGCTTCTTCTTTTTTATCGCCTTCAAATCTACCTGAACTCTGATAGAACCAGTAGTAGGTCCACGGAGTTCGATTATGGAACAACGCTAACCAGTTGTTCACCGAGTACATTACTGGAATCATCAGCTACCCTTTTTATTTTGTAGTCGCAGCATAGGTTCGAATGCGTGAATTTCTTCGACAAGCTCTGTAGAGTCTTCAATTTCAAAGGCTTCAGAATTTTCTTAGTTACTTGGTTCAAACGAAGTCGTCCATTTCAAGTGTCAAAAGAGAAATTTCTATACATTGCGGAGGTGGAGCGCTTCAAGCGAATTGTTTTTATTAAAAATAAAAGTGCTTTAGAAGTGTTTTCTAAATAATTAATACATACTTCAAAAATATTTTTAGAGAATTTAATAGACGCTAATGAATAAACACCTGTAACTATACGATTTGGGGTGAGAAATAAACTATTTAAACAGATTTGAAAACATAATTGTTTTTATTAAATATACTTGATTTTAACCTTTTTTACAACTTCAATATAATTTAACTGAATAAGACATTTTTATTTCCTTTATTTATATTACTCAAATATTTTTTATAATAATTTTAAGAGGCATTTCTCACATTGTCCAGTGAAAAGATTGACAATTTCTTATGTATTCTCAATCACCAAATGCATTCAGTTATTGAAAATTATTATTACACGACCTTATTATAATAATCGAGATATTTCCTTTGCAAAAAATAAAGAAAAATCGATTTGTAAACAAATTTGATTCAGAAGCCTGTTTCTATCCCCAAGGTGTAGTAGAAAGAAACTGAATATTACTATAATATCGAATGAGTACCTTCGGTTATAACATGGACTAATTTTTCCATGTCCTAATCCATTTGTTAAAGAACAATTCCCTCATAGTGTTCAGTATCGGGAAAACCATGCAAAGGAAGTATATGAATCAAAATATGGCTAAGAGCTGCGAATATTAGAAGGGACCACTGAGCTGTCGACAAAGGACTGTTTCTTGAGAGGAGAAACATTCGAGTCCTCAACCAATCTTCATCACATAGTACACTGCATTCTCAGTGCCTGTAAACATCCACCACGAGCTATAGGGTATCAAACTGGACAAATATGTTTATTTATAAGCACATACATAAACAGTTCATGAAATAAGCAGCGTTGAGAAGATGAAACTTGCCTTCAAAAAATATTGACACGTAAAGCCATCTCTTTGCCTTATTGAGTAATAGACTAAGTCCATTGCGAGAAAAACAATGAAGGATCGCGCATTCTCAGCTCTCTGTTTAATTCCCACGGTGTCTGAGCTATATTATATGTTCAACTAAAATGGATGCAATTCCTGGAGAGAGGCAGTAGCCATGAAATTTGAAACATGTGTCCCATGGGCCATCATAGCGTAGAAGAGGTGCTGAAATTCATTAGAAAACTTCGATCGAATAATAAATACAGGTTATCAGTATATTTCGATCCAGATCTTGTTCTATCACTTATCTGCTTTGCATAACGTGTTTACAACCAACTATAATCTTAGATAATTAAATTATCCATCATAAAAGCAACTTAATTGTCATAGTTTATGCACAAGACTGACATTTCCTTCTTTTATATACTGCACACTTGCAACCGCAAGCTAAGGTACAGAGTACCCGCTTCTTTCAGAGTAAAATGCTACATACTATTTATTCTAGGAGAAAGTGAAGCAAAGATATACATCCTTAAATCTAAAGCACAAGGAGTGTGTTTGGAAATGCTTTCCCAATATCCTAAAATTGTTTCTTTCTTTCTCAAATTTTTTATGGAGTTTGACTACTATCAAGAAAACATTTTTGAGATTAAGTATTTGTGGTTGTGGTACACATTGTTGTTGTCAATGTTAAATAAGGAGTAAGGACAATTTGGACCTTTGGTGGTAAGGATCCTAAGATAAGGATTTTTTTTTTTGTTTTCAGAAATGTGCAAATGAGAAACTTTGGGAATTAAAGATGGAGAGGATGACATAAGGTTCAAGGGACTTCAAATCTATTTGGACCGATAGACTTCCACTTGTCCTTGGTGTAGGAAGGTGAAGTCTGTAAATATAGTATAATATTTTGCCAGACCGTTTTTTTTTATGGAATTCGTTCTTGTATTTTTTTCTTCTCTTTGAGGGTTTGAGAACATTTATCGTGTTGACTAATTTTTTAGGTTAAAATTTTGTTTCCAATAACAGAAACAGCCAAATGAACATCAAATGCTGAAGATTCTACCCAGGTAAGAAAAAAAGATATCAAACTTTCTTTGAAAGAAAATTGAAAACTAAAAAGGCTTTGATTGAATATACCTTTAATCAAATGCATAAGGATCATCTGCATAGGGATTCAGGGACCCTTCCGTAAACAGATCACCAATGTTTGAAGGACGTGATTGAGCTCCACCCTTGATTGTCTACAGACATTATCATTTTAAATGCGGAAAAGATTGAAGAGCTGGAATAAAAGTTGTGCATAATAATGTATTGACATACACATTTAGGCGTTGAAACGTAAACAAAATTTTATCTTTAGACAATTGTGGTTCTCTGATATTTCATAAACCCATTATTTTAATATTCTCCATCTAATTGATACTAGAGAATTATTTGAAGTTAGCATGAATCAGCAACCAACTGCAGTATACAAACCAAGAAAAGAGAAAAGAAGGATAAGGATATAAGCCTTTTCTTTTACCTTGACAGGACCTCGGGGGGTATTTCCTCTTGGAGTTTTACTATGTTTTCTCGGGTCCTGATATACATGAGGAACAAATTTTCCTATTCAATAATAATTATGAGATGATCCAGCTTCTACGCATGTGCAGTTCTGCACGGTCCTATTAGTTCATTTTAGTGATCAGGTTCGTACCTCAAACAGAACTGTACTTTTGGTTTTTCTTCTTTTAGTGATCGTCCTTCCATTTGTAGTTTCAACTTCATATTCACGGCGAGTAACCTGGCCAGCCATTAATTAAGTTTCAATGCGTCAGGGTAAGTGAAAAGCTACATAAGAGAAGTTAGTCCTTCACGTAATGTTCTTGAGTTTCTATCCAAATATTAATGGTTAAATGAATTCATCTCAACAGTTCACATAATGTAAAATGCACATACTTTTACATACATCAGAAATAACTCACCTTCTTATGGTGCTTAGGGATACTTGCAACACTTCCTGTGTTTATGTCCTCTACGGTCTTCAACAACTTCGATACTGGTGTTTGAGCTTCTTGTAGGTAAGGTGAATCCTACGAGAAGATGAATACGGAAGTATTTATAATGTTGTTGATCAACAGATTTCTTTGCTGCAATTTATCGACAAGTTGTCAGTAGCACCTCTTCATGCGCCGGTCTAATCAGAGTGCGCTTGCTTTTTCTGGAACCACCAGAACCTCTCATCTTGATTGATGACATGGAGTAGTCCTGCACCATAACAAGTTATTAAATTATCAAGGAGAACCTAAACTTGATATATGAAAATGACGAAGTACTAATTTTATATCGATCCTTTATTTTTTTTTTTTGGGTTAAATGACATTTCCAGTTCCTATTCTTTGGCTCTTGTAACAATTTTGTCTATATACTTTCTCTTTAATAATTTAATCTCTATACTCTTAGAAATGTAAAAACTAAGTCCCAAGTATTAAAGGGTGGGAATAGGAGTAATCTAGAGATTTGCTGTTTGAATTTATAGTTTAATGTCAGGAAATAAAAAACATAATCGAGGGTATTCAATATTGACAGTGAGGGAGGGTAAAATGACTTTATTTTTAAACATCAACACTTAATCATTGCATTTCTAAAATTACAGGAATTAAATAGTTTCAACGAAGAATATAAGGACAAAAGTATCCAAGAGCCAAAAGTATAAGGACTGAAAATATATTTAACCTTTGTATCTTAACGCAATGAAGTTCAATATGGAGAACTAGGATGCTTCTGATAACAATATTAAATTTTGAGAAGAGAAAAATGATCCAAGAAAAATCGGTTTCATTACTGTGCATAATGAAGCTTGAAATTGATCATCAGCACATAGATGATAGAATACATCTAGCTGCCACTTCAAGTTACAAGAAAGCTTTTGGGAGGAAAATGGCATGAAGTTGATTCGTAATATCACGTGCATGTTCACACATGCACGTGGGACAAGAGATTACCTTCTTTGAATTCACTTCTTGATCCTCTTGAAGCTTGTCACCCATCACTTTCCATTGTAATTGCAACAATGTTCTCTGCCTGTCTTCCTGTGATATTTATGAGTCGATTAAGAAATGAGCACAATACCTGATATTTGTACTCGAGTTTGTAAATGTAAGTACTTTAGTTTTTTGGAGATCCAACTCCTCTTGAAGCTTCCTACATTCATCTTCGTTTTGATGTCTCAAAGCTTTCATCTGAGCCTCATGTTCACTTCTCAGTGACGTCAGTTTCTGGAACATTATAAATTACTAAACTATTAACTAATATTGAAAAGGTTGACACAAACCAAAATTTGAATACTTATAACCTCTTTTAATTCATTCTCGGCTTGCAGTTGAGCACGCTTTAGCTCTTCATTGTGGTCACCCTTATGAATTTGTTCGTTTCTAGCATGTTCTTGCTGAATTTGACTCAACTACAAAATCAAAATGTAGGATAAAAAAGACTTACTCATCGATGCGCGGTCTTTATCCTTGAACAAACATAGAAACATATGATACTCAGCACAGTTAATGCACCAACAGAACAAAGAAGCTTCTGAAACTGTTTAATGAATTTAATTACTGTTGAAAAAATGAAAGTGATAAAAATAATGCAGGAGCAATAGTAAAATTCTCACTGTTTGATGAACAATGAGGAAATATGAAATGTGAGAGAGTAGAAATCAATAGAAGGAAAAATCAACTTCTAATTGAAGTGATACAAAATTGTAAATAAACAAATGAAAGTACAAATGTTGGTGATACAAACTTCTCATGGAAGTTCACCCTTATATAGGTGTACAAAATACATAACTTAAACCAAAACTAAATTGGAGAAACTTACAATTTATAAAAGTGAAACTTAAAAGATAAAAAACTGAATTTAAATTTGAGTTACAAGAAAAAACTCATAACTCAACAATTACACATAAATTCTATTAATATAAACTAGAAGTTAACTTCACTCATAAGTTAGCCGATCCATCAAGGCTGTCAGATAGTTTCTCATGATTTCTGATATAAAAAATTTAAGATTTAATACAGCTCAGATTGTAATAACAAAGTGTAAATACAATATGCTAAGATTTTAACGTGGATCTAAAAAGAATCCGATGGACATCATCCCTAGTCTAGAATAAAAGTTGCAGTAATTAGATCACAAGAAAAAATAAAATGAACAAGAAAAAATAAAATGAACAAAAAAAAAATGTTAAATCTAATCTAGGGGACCATGTCAAATATGAATATCTTGATCATAAGAAGATAAACTTCATTCTTTTCAGACGCATACCAGAGTAGCATGTTCTTCCTGAATGCGAATCAGGCATTGCCTAGATTCTTCTTTCAATTCTGCTAGTTTTTGTTCACAATTTCTTTCCATTTCTTGTACAACTTGATCTGCCTGTACGTTAAAATGAATAAACAACAAGTTTAATAGTGTAATATGTTGCAACATATGAGTATTAAGAGCGAACCTTTTCCTTTTCCTTGTTAACAATCTCTAGTTTCTCCACTTCATACTTACTCCGGATGTCATTGATGGCCTATTAGTTTCACGGCTGTCAGCCCAAGTAAAGGTAGTCTTACCGCATGAAGAGTATTTATGAGTAAAATGGTTACAAATAATACCTGATCGTTTCTATGGGATATTTCTTTCAAGTGCTTTGATAACTCCAGCTGTTTACTCTCCAGCATTGTATCGTACTGTCTTTTAGCATCAGAAAGTTTTGTTTCAACAGCAAGCAATAGAGCCTGATTCTGTAATAGATGAGTACTAATCTTCAGGTCATCGAAAAGCTAATCACAATAATTTGTCGTGAAAGTGAACAATTGCAACAGTACAAAATACAAAACCTCTTTATTTTGTTCTTCTAGCTTCTTTTCACGCTCGTTAAACAGAAGAATAAACTCTTCCTTTTCCTTCAAAATATTGTGAAGTTGATCACCCTCTATCTCAAGCATATCTGCACGTTTTTTATGATTTTCACTCTCCTTCATTAAAGTACCTATCTCTTCTGCCTTGTCGTGTAACTCTTTCTCCAATTTTTCTATGTTACTCTGATTCTCAATTTCCAGTGCAGAAATCTTCTGCAACAAATCTTGCTGCAAGAAAATATCAAACAAAATTAGTCAAACAACAGTGCTTGTCATCAAATTACTTATATTTGTCGAAAAAGTTGTAGACCATTTTATTCTCAGATGATCTTGAACTTTCTGACAAAGTACCAATTTTCTCCTCTAATCTGGAAACCAATGATTCTGTCTCTGTCTTTTCTGAAGCAAGAATTTCCACTTCAGACGCCAACTTTTGAATTCTCTCTCCTGCTAAGCGAGACTCTTCTGATAGTTGTGCGATAAGTGATTCATGGACTTTCTGAAGTTCATCTACTTTCTGCTGTGATTCCACATTTATCAATTTGAGTGCACTTTTTTCTGATGTTACACAAATCAATTTGTCACGAAGCTCGTTGCATTTCTTTTCGGCCAGCTCTGAAGCAACATCCCTCTCCAATTTGACCAGCATAAAGCAAGAGTCATTTAGAAGGTTTAGCTGATTAAATTTCTCTAAAAAAGTTGAGTTCTGTCGATCCAATTCAACCAGCTGTTCAACCAATAAATGGACTAGATTTTCAAGGTTTTTGGTCTCCAAGAGTGATGCATCTAATTTCTTAATAACCTCATCATTATACATTTCCAAATCACTCTTTTCCTTCTGCAAGTCATCTCGTGTGGCTATCAAACTTGTAATTTTATCTTCTTTTGAATTTGACTCTAATTGTGTCGCTTCCAGTTTAAAGTTTAACCCCTCTACGGTCAACCTGTTCTCCACAACTGTTTCTTCAAACCTCTTCGTCAGAGATTCTGCAAGAAAGTATCATTATAGTCCACCTTTTATGAGAATAATAAAGTAACCAGTTCCACAATGCAAAAAGTGACCCCATTAAACACTTCAAGGGGCTTGAATTGTGAAACATACATCTCAATCCATGCAATCTCATTTTTCAATGCCTAGTTAAGGTACTTTGTGATGTCCACTATTATAGAGGTAATAGGTCGGCCTTCCATTTAGCTTGTGCATGAGTACACGGAGGTCCTTATCGTTAAATAAATAGTAATTTTACTGTTCTCAAGTTTAGAACATTATGAGATATTTAAAATATTTCAATAAACTTTAATAGTCTTTGTTATTAAGATCATGAGTAACATCGAGTCAAATGCTATGATGGGGGAGACAGATAACTGGAAATTTGATTGTTATCTCCTTTCACAAGATCCAAAATACTTGAACCATGAATTTATTTTGCAGCATCCATCAAGTATGTAATGCGTGCGATTAGAGATTTAGCATGGTAATTTTGACTCCTTGTTTTAAGAATTCTATAGAGGAAGTTTTGGGTAAAATGTTGTTGATACAAAGAAAGTGAAAGCACTAGCTGCCACATTTATATTTCAACGGTGTTGATGAAAGCGGACCATGAGGGGGAAATGCATAAGGCAGCCAAAACCAAGATGCGTGTGGTACCTAATCTGTCCCCTAACCAGAAAAGAATATTGATGATTATGTATTTCATAAGATTAAGTAACAATGCTGGTCACTTTAAAGAATAGTAAAAAAAAAGTATGACATGGTAGTTTTCAGCCTCAAATGAAACATCCCAGTATGCTGAATGCTCCTGTATAACCTGACTTGAGCATTAAACATTGTCAATAAAATATGAAAGCATCAAAGGTTTTAGTAATCTCTTCTAGAATTCTTCAAGCACCAAATTGTCTTGCATTTATAATTAACAATGGCAAAGGGACTGTTAAATGTCAATAAAATCTTTGTCACAGTCCTATTCCCGGCTCTAAGGTTTCAAGGCAAGGATTCAAAATGATATAGTGGGGAACAGTTCTCCACAGGCTTAATTTTCTTCTGTTTATATAACATAACTAAATAAACGTTCGGAAATTTATATAAGTACACTGCAACTAAGAATTGGTCAAATTAAAGCATGGAATCTTAATATATGTATACAAAAAGTAAAAAGTAAGAGTTGGTTCTTGTAGGCCAATACTTCTTTGTCCTCATTTTCAAAATGAAACATTCCGTACTTTGTCCTCATTTTAGAAAGACGGGAAGATTTTCATCCCAAATTACCAAGCATGCATTGTTTAATGAACTTTCTGAAATTTTAGGCCCTATTCGTGATAGTTTACCTTTTTCCTCAATGAGATTTGCAGTTCTCTGCTGTTCATCTCTGTACAATTTACAATTTTCCTCTTTCTCAATTTTGAGCTCGGCTAGCTCCTTCTCACCTATGTTCAGAGTTCAAAAGCATTAGATAGAACGGAGAATTTTATGGTACATTGTGAGTTATATTAGCCAACTAAATGTTACAAGAAAAAGTTATTCACTTCAAAATTTTAAGGACTTACGATTTTTTATTGTTTCTTCTGCCGACTCTACTTTTATTGATAAGTCATGCAATCGTTGGTTTAACCCATCGACAGCTATAGAACTTGCGGATAATTTGGCTTCTAAAACCTCCTTATCTTTCTCACCTGTATGATTTTGTTAATACAATGATTACATTTAAGGTTAATTCCTACTTGAGGTTAATTATACTAGATAAAAGACAGGCTTAAAATTTTGAGCCTGAGATTGATAATTACCCTCCTGAACCTGACAGGCTAATTGCTGTAATGTTTCAGTGAGCTGATCGCACAGTGTCTTGGTCGATGAGAACTTGAATTCTAATCCCTTCCACAATTTCTCGTCTTCATTTTGCTTGACCTTGAGCTTGGCGTTTTCATTTAATGCAGTCTGCAGTTTATCCTCTAAAGCACGCACATGCTCCACTGATTTCCTTAATTTCGTATTCTGTAAACACTTTCAACTTATGAATCAGACCTAATGAACTGAATTACAGGAAACACAGCACACAGCCTATTTGTGCATCGAGGTTTAAAAAGAGAAGGTTGTTATCCGACCAATTTCAATGACCAGATAAAGTTTGCATGAAGACGCACGCACGAGCGTGGTATATAGAGAATGGAACTTCATACCGCCATTTCCAGATCAGTCTTCAAAGAAACTTGCTCTTTCATCAATTTCTCTGCAAAATATCAACGACAGGATCAACATAAAACTTCACTCCTCACAAAAAGAATGATTAAAACTGAACTTTCCGATTGGAACCTGCAGCAATCTTCAAATTGACAAAACTTCCCGATGAGGCAGAGTCCGGAACCGAACGCGAAGAGAATGAGAACGTTTTAGTAGTTCCTTGCGCCGAACCTGAGAGTGACTTCAACTGCTTCAAGCTCTTCATGCTTGGAAATCCGAGCTTCTCCATTTTCAAATTGAAAGACAACGACGGAGAGAAAACCTAGTAATTTGTACTTCGACCTCGCTCTCGAGCCCGCGGAATTTCGCACATCATAGTGTGACTGAAATGAATTGGGCGCCAAGAATACCGAAGCTTCAACTAATTTATAGTATTCGGCACATCATCCTCATGCCGTGTCAGCCGGGTGTACGAATGTGCCAGCTATTTTCAAATCAACGTGGTAAATAAAACATTCAATTATTTAAATATTGAAAATGATAAATACTAATACATATCATATTGCTTTTTTTCTTTGAAAGAATATTGCTTTTTTTGTAATAGTCATATTGTGTTTCTAAAAATTAAATGCTTATGGTTCCAAAACCTTGCAACTTCAACTTTCAGAAGAAAAAAAAAAAAAGATAAATGGAAAGGCAATGACCAGTGAGATTATAGAAGGCCCTGTTACTATTATATATTTGAATACTAAATTCTATATTATTCCCCTGCAATTATAACATTGTCACCATTTAAGTTTTAGAAGTTTAAGAAGCTGAAGATGGATTTGCAGCCTGATGCCAGCAGCAATGAAACCATAGGCTCCCTTGTTAGAACTTAGCAACAATGATATTTTCGATAAGCTTTATTGTAATTATAATTTCAATTAAGAACTTAAATATATATATATATATATATATATATATATATATATCAACAACTACTCCCATTATTATTATGGTTGAAATTTTATCAAAATTATCTATGAATAAAATCTTCATAGGCTTCTACCACAAATAATTTAAACAAACAACTATTAATAAATATCCTTGTTATAAACAGCATACTATAAAAACGACATGGGGCTCAAGATATTTTGCAGCCGAAGACACTGGAACACCAGACACCATGGAAACTCGCAATTACATAAATGCACTTTTACAAATGAGAAAAACTAGAACCAGAGAGGGCCTTGTTGAACATGCCAGTTTTATACTTCATGTAAAGGAAAATTTTTAAATGGGTACCTGCATTAAGTAATCAACTAATAAAATATAAGTGCCAAGATGAAGAACTTAAAAGAAAAGGACTCAGGCACAAGCCAGTCAACACTCTGATCTCTGAGTGACATTTGAGTGAGTGCAGGTGATGGAAGTTGCCTTCCAATAAGTATCTACAACCACTAATAAAAGTACAGAGTGAAGATGAAAAATTGGTAAGGTAAGGTTTTACATGGAGTAAACGTTTCCTAGTAAAACCTGCCGTCGTCAAAAAGCCTCTTCAATCAACCATTACGGCGAAGTCAGTCCAGTTTCACTCTGTCCAGATCATTAATCATCCCTTCGAGCTGTAAGAAAGTGAAACACAAGCATGATTGCCGTTAGTTTCCTTTCCTCAAGATAACAATGCGCAGAGATGCAAGATTGAAAATAAATTTTACATACTTTAACAATTTGCCGCAAGAAGAAATCTCCATAGCGATTAACCGGCTTAGATTCAACAACGTGAATTATGTCCTGCAGTGAGATTAAGTTAAAATGCAGGGTAGATCGATTAAGACAGCACTTTTTTAACATACTACATAAATGATTTTTCCTTTAGGTGCATCTGATTATCTATTACCACGGGGGAAGTCGGATTGAATCCAATCTGTATGGCAACAAACTATCATATAATATATCTATCAGTACATCAAAAATTCGTAGAACTGAACAAATAGAATCCAACCCCCACCAACAACAACTCTATTTTCCTTCCGGACAATCATAAACTCAGCAGAGTTGCCATATCAACATTCATTTGCAAGCTAAACGGTTTCTGTAAAAGAATAAATAAAATAATAATAACAAAAAAAACAAGAAGCCAACAGTCACCCCCATAAGTATTACAAGGCCACAGAAGCTACGTGTTATTTTTCAACTTGAAACCATTCAAACTTCAAGCATGTTAAAAGCAAAATTGAATTGAAAAACATGTAATATGTTCTGAATTCAAAATGCTTTCGTAAACAAAGAGATGGTAATTGAATGAAAGTAGACATACATCTTCAATGTAAAAATCCACATCCGCATTGGACATAATTTTTCCAACACTATCAACAGCATGAGTTTTGTGCTTGTATGTCAACAAAATCGTCCTGTAAATATAACAAAAAAATAGCACCAGTAATCTTAGGAAAGATGCAGCAACTTATAAAAATGAGAAGATGATATATCCCGCTGTCTTTAATTCCAACCTTAGAGTGGATTCGTCCACTTCCATGTAAATTGCAAGCTGCCCAAGGGAGATGGTAGAGTACACTTTCAAGAAGGTCCGGATGCCAGATAGTAGTTGTTGTTGCTTTACTTCATAAAGAAATAGTTTCAATTGAAGCCTATAGGCATCCTGGAAAAAAATAAGAGGCATTAAAAAAACCTTTGAAAGAGAGAGAATACACACACAACACAAACATACACAAAAGGGGATGATGAAATAATGATATCAAAGTTCATCAATCTTAATCAAAGTTATCAATCACACAAAGTTTTGTGAAGAAATGATGATATCAAAGTTCATCAATCTTAATCAACAAATCCAATTTGCACAATGTAGACAAATCTAGAGCTAGATGCTCAAAATAATATCAATGTTAGCCTCAGAGAAAATTTAAAAAAATCCTCTCCAAATGATGTTTGTCAGAATCGCGGTCTCCATAGGATATTTGACTGGGATAATCAAGGAATCAGTAAAGATCACATACTGCGTAAATCATATAATATTAAACTGTTAGGAAGAAAAGCCGTTGAACCATGTACTCCCATCTTATTTATTTGTTTTTTCATTCACTCGCTCATTTTGATTAGAAACTACTTAGTGGATGAATGAACTACAAGGCACAAGGCCAACAAAGCCAAAGGACTTAGCAAAAATTCAATTGTAGCAATATCAAAATTTCCACCAAAAAAAAGGAAAAAAAACCAACTCCTAAGAAGCGCTTGATAAGGCAACAAAAATAACGTTTGTACTCAGCCTATTCATTTCTTTTCTTTTCTTTTCTTTTTAATGAGAAACAAATAACAGCCTATTCATTGTTAGAGTTGACATATTAGAACAAGAACTTGCACAATAACAGACAGAAAATAAAACGTGCAATACTAGATCCAAAAAGCAAAAGAAAACTCAATGTCCCAAAATTTTATCATTTATCTCTACATCTCTTCATATTCTTTCTCATTAAGCAGGTTAAAGCCACTCATTCACCTAATTTCATTAATTTGTATGGTCTCATAACACTTGAGTTTCATCCATCAAATTTCTTGTCAACTTCAATACTGCATCTAATATAACTTCAGAACGAATATCAATGGCAGACATATCTAGAATTTAGTTGTAACAATATTTTTTTAAAAAATACAGATCTAAGCTTACCTGGTTGTAGTTTACAAGAGGCTCCTCAAAACTAGGAGCAGATGGAGTGATGAACTTCGGACAAGCATATGAGAAAAGCTCATCATAGATGGCAAAAGCCTCCTCATCATATCTTTGCATCCTCATCATCTTTTCACCATACTTCTCACGCAACTGAGAGTTAACAGTTTCATCAATAAGCTTGACTTGTGGGCAGAGTGAAACACATATTGCCAACAAGGCATACATCTGCTCGTTCTTCTTCAGAATCTGCTCATACTGAGGAGATTTTTGATGGTATTGCTTGGTCTTATAAATATACAAGAGAATTCTATTAAATTCATGAATGGCATCCACATACCTGAAAATAGGGGGAAATAAATTTATTCAGATTTCATTTTTAAGTGAGAAATGAAAGGAATAAGTCCAAGGCACTAAATACAGCACTCTATAAAGTCATATAAATATTTTATATTCAGCTTTACATGCAGTTTCAATACTTCCTCACCGTCCATATTATTTCACAAAGCATGCAATATTTAATAGGAAGCAAGAAAAACAAAGGGTACAGAAGAGAGGGGAGGGAGAAGCGAGGGAGATTCGAAGTTACATGCACCCTTTGCTTGTGCATGTGGTGTGGTGTGGTGGTGGTGGGTTGTTAAATGAGACCGGACCATTTAGGAGCATTCTGGCTCATTAACCAACTAAGCAATCGAACAAATAATTCGTGCAAACAATCGAATCAAAAAACAGAATATATTAATGTTCACATATTAACATATCATATACCAATTTGTTCGGTAGGTCACAAACATCCTAACCAGACTCAGAATTTCAGAAATCGCCAAATAGTCATAACAAAATATGTAACCACTCTTGTTTTCTGGTTTATCAAAAGCTTATCTATGCAAAACCAGGCATGAAGGTCTTGTTGCTAATTAAAAGATCAGAAACCCTTTTATATGAATTTATTTATGTATAGAACAATATCCAATACTTGATTATTCAAGACATCACCATGTACGCAGTAGTAATCTCCTATACTGTGTGCATCTTACATCTCAACTTTCAACTGCTGAAAACAAATAAGGTACATTAATAATGCGTTTCCTTTAATTATTAGGAGTAAACTGGCAACATGTACACAAATTTCAGGAATTTGTTAGGCCACCTGAAATAGACCTGACATTCTTGTTCTTGCCTTCACTCGGAGAATGAGAAAATTAACAGAACATGAAAGTGGAATCAAGAAAACTAAAATAACTCAAATAGAGGGTTCGGGGAAAATGTAAGACTTCAAAGAACAAAATATTTACATGACAACCACCTAAAACTATAGAACTTTCTGGTAATCCATCCAAAAGAATAGTTGGTAACTAGATACACCAAGATGCAAAATCTATTGAAAGGTAAGCAGGGGAGGGAAAACAATGCATCGACATGATAGAACAGTAAAACAAGTATACTGAAAAAAGAAGATCATACCTGCGCAACATTAGGTTGGCAAACCCGTAATGGTATATAGTAGTAATATGGCTTCCAATCACAGTAGTAAAAACACCTTGCTGACTTATGTCAATTGGGAGCAAGCACTTCAAACCAGTGTGATAATCACCTAACAGGCAGTGAACCCGGAGCAACCCCACCATGCTGAAATATCCCAACACCTTCAAAACATTACTACTCCCACCACTATAATCATACCCATCAGTAGCTGTAAATTGTTCAAGACCTTCTTTCTCCTGCTCAAGAATCTGAATGATTGAGGATTTCTCCACAAATGCTTGCAAGTAGTTGAGCACACCATATACATTCCAAGCCTGGAATTAAACAACCATGGAAGTTAAGCCCCTGAACCTTTGGATCTAGATAGACCATAAAAACCATTAAGACTAGAAGGGCAAAAAACTCGTAAGTGAAAGTGGCTGCATGATGATGAGTGTAAGAATTATATGCGCCTGTTGAATCAAGATGCACCCAAATATGGCTATAAAATTTCACCTTACCTAGTGTTACGTACACAAAATACACATCTCATAGGTCTTAAAAAGATTGTCATTCAAAATTTATAAACCATGACACTCAATGCCATTCCAGCTATAATTTGAGCACCTCAGATAAGGAATAGGTTTCAAGTCCAAGTTATCCAAGTCTAAATTACTAATTACACATAATTCATATAGAACAATAAGAAGGCCAAGCAGTAATACTGTTTTATAACCTTTGGAGTTCACTTCCTTGTCTCATTGCAGACCGAATAACACGCATCGTCCATATTTTCATACAACAAGAGATCCAATTTGTCCAGATTTTCATTTAAAAAAAAAAGAAAGAAAGAAAGAGGAAAAAAGACCAATTGTAACCACCTGATCGTACTGCCTCAGAAGCGCAATTTCCTGCTCAGTCTTGTTCTTCATCTTGGCCCGGTATTGGCAGAAGCTCTGGAACTGATAAACAAACTCATCGACCATATCCCACAGCCACTGGTTAGGCAATTGCATATTCACGACTCCGTGCAAGACCACCTGGAATAGGCTGCAATAGTTATCCCAAGAGTCAATCCTCTGCTTCAAAGTTGGCGACAATCTCGCGTAGAGATGACGGAACCACATCTCACGGTAAAGCAGGCAGAATACATGGTCGTTATCGACAAAATGAGCCACGGCATCTACAGACGGCCACGGAGTATCCTTGAATAGGCGGTCCGATAGGGTCTGGAAGGAGGTTTCATACATTTGATGAGTTTCGTATACATTCTTCTCGCGGATGTGTCGGTATAGATGAACGACAAAGGATTTGACGGAATCTGGAACGAAATTGGGGTCGTAGCCGATGTCTTGGCCTGCCGGAGATGGCGCCGCCGCATGTCGGGGGTCGTCATAGTTGGTTCGTGAATCTTCGTAATCGTACGAGGCCATGGTGACTGAATTCCGCAGTAACTGAGCTCGACGAAAATTAGGGTTTTAGTAGAGAGTTTCGGATTTAGGAAGGAGAAGCAGGGGTAGGAGTAGGGACTGCTGCTAAAGTGGGAGGTGAATTGGGCCCTAGTTTTGGGCTTCTTGTTATTGGCCCATTAGATTTCAATATGGCGGGCCTATCCCGAGCATTGATATTTATTATAATAAATATTGTACAAAAATTAATGAATTGTGAATGTTTTCTATAAATATCAGGAGAATATTAATTTAATTTTTATGCCTTTATCGAATTCCGTCTTTTTTTTTTTAATAACTTGCATTAAGAAAGACGGTCACGGGCAGAGGAGCTTTCTCCTTCGGCATTTCACAAAAGTTAGAGGAAAAATTATTAGTCCAAGAAAAGGAATTACAAAACTTGGTATAATGTTTTGCCAATAGATCTGCTGATTTATTATTCTCGTAGATATATAGGGAAAGAGCAAGCTTCAAAATATAGAGCTGCTGATTGAATGTCATGGAGCCAAACACATCTAGTCCCAAGAGTCTCCATTTCTCCATCGAAAAGAAAAATAGTCGAAAGAGAGTTAAATTTTACTGTTAGCCGAGAGCAACCAAGAATTTTATTGTGAAGTATTTATTTTATCCGATTATATTTTAAACCTAAATACCTATTGTAACTTCACTTTGACAATTATTAAATTTTTGGTTAATTAAATGAATTATAAAACATGGTACAAAATTTAAAGGATTTTAGAGAAAAAGAATATTATAATTTTTTATATTTAATTTGTTATTATTATTTTTTTTAATATAGTTGTTCTTTTGTGCATAAAATTATTTTCTTTTTAGTTGAAATCAATGGTTAACAAATTTGTGTATGTTATTTGTTCTTTTAATTAGTAAGTAAATTAGCATAAATGGAAAAAAAGGTACAAATTAAATTACAAACGTTTAATTAAATCTAAGGCGTAACCAAGATTTTAAATGTCGATGTCAATGAAAATGTCAAAGACTTGATTTCATGAAAATATCAATGAAAATATGGATAAAATGTCGATGTCGGACATTTCTATAAAAGTTAGAAAAATTTAAAAATTATAAAAAATATTTAAATTAACAAATAAGTATTTTCCTATTTATAAATTAGTTAAAAATAATAAATACTAATATTATGTATATATTAGTGACATTTTGTCGATAATTTTTATATTTTATTGATTTTTTGGATGGAAATATCCCTCGTATCGATATCGAACTCATGACACATGGAAATATTAATGGAAATGTCGATTATTTAGAACCACGGTCAAACTCGATCAAATTGAAAGTTTATTAGTAAAAAAGAATAGTTCTTCTCAAAATATTGATTTCAGTCGGCAGCTGTGTTCGACGAAGAGAAGACGACACAGAAAATAGCGATGGCCGATTGGTTTGTTGTTCTTGTTCACCGAGTGAGCATGGGGAGAATCATTGACTATTATCGCTTCTGTAATGACTCGCTTGTAATTTGCAAAACGTGGTCAGATTCGTGAAACACTACTTTTTATACCTGTACCTGAGAGTCAACTGCTGCATTGGGGTTCTTCCATGGCTTCACTCCAGTCTCTTCTCAAACCCGTTTCTCATCCACTGATTAGCCCTACAGAGTTCTTTTACGATTTTCAAAGACCATTGCGTTTTGCTCGACTTCTATCTCTCTCGGTACACGAATCGCGCAATTCCCGACAGTTGTCTTCCAGAGGATTCAGAATTAGGAGTTCGATTGCAGGTTAGTTCTTTTAATTCGTCGTGAGAGTGTTTGATTCCACTGAAGCCTTAAAAAAACAAAGTTTACGATATGACTATCAATGACTTTTTGGCGGGTAACTGTAGAACATTTACTCGCTTTTCAAAATCTGGGTGTTCAAATCCTTTTCGGGTTTCTGCCTTTCTTACTTTCTTTCATTTTGCCCTCTCCATCCCTCTAAAATAATTAAACCAACTACTTGTCTTGTCGCAGATACTATTGGTCACTCTTCTGATGCTCCAGTGCTTAGTAGTTCAGAGGTCCTCTTCTTTCCGTCTCTATCATTCTTTGAAATTTCTAATTAAAGTTCATCTTGGATAACATGATCTATTTTTTGGTAGAAATATGCAAGAAAAGTTCATGTTCTATGTGTGGGATGCGGTAATTGCATAGCTTTACTGATTGTTATTTCGGGCCATGGTTGACTGAAGGTGCTTGAAAGATTAAGGGCGAGCCGAGAAAATCTAGAAAGCCAGCAACAATTTCTTGCCATGTATTCCAGCGTTTTTGGAGGAATTACAACAGATCCAGCTGCTATGGTAATTCCAATTGATGATCACATGGTCCACCGGGGACATGGTGTTTTTGATACTGCTGCCATAGTGGATGGGTATGTGAGATTTTATTTTATACAGTTTGATCAAGACTCTGATGTTGATTTAGCCCAGGACCCACATAATTCGCACTTTAAACTGATGGGCTTTCATGATTCTCTAAACTTTTCCAAAACCTAATGATTAGATATTTGAAATGATGGGGAACCATTTGACTTTTACCTGCAGTTTTTTTCTATTTCAAATTTTCAATGTACTTTTGAATAGTCTAATTTCGAAATATTGACAATATTCAATTATATGTTCACCTCACTGAGGGTTCACCCTTAACCTACTTAAGATGAGACAATTCAAATAGATATCGGGTAAATCATCTCTTAAAGAGACGATTTGCCCAAATCTTGGAAGAAGAAGAAAATTGAAATGTAAACATCATAATCTTGGCTACAAAGTCTGAATATAACTCATGAAGTGACTTTATGACTCTGTGCTAATACAAGACGACAACTGTCTCGTGAAATCATAACACTGAAAAACTTTCCATAGTGTTGTTTCTCGTATCACAGTGACAGACAAGAATCTACTAGACGTAAAACGGATCCTTTTTTTTAATTCTTCTTGGTTGCTTGTCCCTTCGGGGACATCTGAATTCTTCGAGGTTGCTTAGTTTTTATTATTAGTTCCACTTTCCCAAAGGCACATTTTCATTTCATGATTTTGCCAGTGTTGAGTTACCTTAGGCATTTAATTTATTCCTGGTTGTGTTCAGCTCCTTTACAAAATGCTTTGACATCCAGATATCTCTATGAGTTGGACCAGCACCTCGACCGCATTTTAAGATCAGCATCAATGGCAAAAATAAACCTCCCAGTCCCATATGATCGGGAGACGATTAAAAGGATACTTATAAGAACTGTGAGTGCTTCTAAGTGTAGGAATGGATCACTTCGATATTGGCTTTCTGCGGGACCGGGAGACTTTCAACTATCTTCTTCCGGCTGTTATGAGCCATCCCTTTATGCTGTTGTAATTCAAGGTAAGCCGCCATCTCATCCAAAAGGAATCAAAGTCATAACTTCCTCAGTCCCAATGAAACCACCTCAATTTGCAATTATGAAGAGTGTTAATTACCTACCAAATGTTCTTTCAAAGATGGAAGCAGAAGAAAAGGGTGCTTATGCATCCATTTGGTTGGATAATGACGGATTCATTGCTGAAGGGCCTAATATGAACGTGGCTTTTATTACAAGTGATAAGGAGTTTCTGATGCCTCACTTCGACAAAATCCTAAGCGGGTGCACAGCTAAGAGAATTTTAACTCTTGCAGAGCAGCTAGTGAAAGAGGGTAGGCTTCGGAGTATAAGATGTGAAAATTTAACCATGGAGGAGGGCAAAAAGGCAGATGAGATGATGCTTATTGGGAGTGGAGTTCTTGTTTGCCCTGTACTGCAGTGGGATGAGCAGATTATTGGTGATGGTAAGTTTCTCTGCAATCTTCAATTCATAAATAAGATGCTAGAGAATAAATATCCAGGCTACAACTGAATCAAGATGTTTGTATCATCTTGTTTACATTTTACCTGTACTGCTGTGGGATGGCGCCATCATGTTTTTGTAGGTGTTGGGCGTGTTAATTTATTTACGCTATGAATCATTGCTTTTATCAATAGAGACCTATGAACTACCATGGATTGGCCTGGCATCATCGAGGCTGGTGAAAGGTAAAGAGCCTTAAATATTAATAGAAACACATGAAGTTTTCTTCCCACCATAGCCAGAAGACGATCTCAGGAAACCATCAGTTTTAATTTTTGTCTGATCATGGGGACGGACGTTATGATTATGAGACATGAAACCATGTGTTTATCTGATAATTTAAGAATGTTTTGGTTTTCCTCCTCAGGAAGAGAAGGTCCATTGGCTCAAGCGCTTTTAGATCTTCTTATCGAGGACATGAAATCCGGCCCCTCAACAGTTCGAATACCAGTTCCATATTAAGCCCAGCCTACCATCTTTCTCTCAGAATTTGCTGATACATTTCCCATGGATGCCGCTAGTTCGAGCTACATGGGGCAGGGAGCCCTCCACGAGTGATGTGTAAGTGGTGATTTTGATGGTTGTTTAAGAAATAAATCATGCTTACTGTTTGGTTCTTAACAAATATTTCTTCAGTGATTGATATTTTCATAACATATTTCGATAATATGTCAAAATATGCCCATATATATTGTTTATAAAAAAAATTTAATGAGTTTCCCGCTTGTTATTCCTTGTTGTGTCTGTGGTGATTTTGATGGTAATCTTGGGTTGGCTTGTTTTAAAGTGGTGACTATGATGGTTGTGTTCATACTGTTTGCTTCTTAACAAATATTTCTTCAGTGATTGATATTTTCTTTCACATATTTTGATAATATGTCAAAATATGTCCACAAATATAGCTGTTTATAAAAAAGATTGAACAAGTCTCTCGTTGTGTTCTAATTTTTTTTTGTAAATAAACGTATTGTCGTGTCTGTATCATGTCATATTTGTATCGTGTATTCGTGTCCAACCTTCTGGAAGTAGAGAAGAATACGTAGAACAGAGTGTGCAGAGGGGATTAGAACGGCATGGAAGATGCTTGAGTTCATGAGACAAATAATAATGCCACTTCAACGTTTAAAACCATACGTGTCAATAATCTTACGTGGCTTTGACATTTTTTTCCCTTTAGTTTGAAAATAATTACATAATTATTGTTCTAATTTAAACTTTTAAACTCCAATTCTTTGACTTTTGAAATATCAAATCAATTTTAATAAGTTGTAAAGCATCCGAAGTTTTGAATCTCACACGTATGGGTGGTAAATGAGAATTAAAAATTTTGAAAGGACATATCGAAATAGATTGAATTAGTTAATTAATATTGGTCCATTCAATCTTTACGCACAATTTTTAATTCTAAAAATATTCTATTAATTTTTAAAAGAACAAATGATTTTCGAAAGGAAATGTCAATTATCTTTTTCTTTTAGCACAACAGATATGGGGTGTGGGAGTTTGAATTTTCAGATGATAATTACTGTTCGTCAAATTCTTGCATTCCCTATGCTTGTCAAACAAAAAATAAATAAAAATGCAATTCCAAATTTCCAAAGCCACAGCGGGGCAAGGTCGTAATTTAGCAATGGAAAAGAATATTTTATAATTGAATATTGTCCAAAAGTTAAAAATAATAAAAAAGAGTTTCTAAAATGTATATATAAATATGAAAGGGGTGGCGGGTGATGAAAGTACGGCGAACTGCTCGGGCCGTTACGCCAAATACCATTTGATTAGTCGGCGTTTTCACGAATCAGCAATATCGGATTCTTATAGTCGGCTTTTCGATACAACTGAGGGACGCTTAGCAATTTCAGTGTAAGAGTGAGAGTCAGGATACACTATTCAACAATCTTAATAGTTTAGGAGCTTGCAGAACGAGTTTACGATTTGTCGCCTTCTTCTGTGTGGGTAATCGTGTTGGTTGTCGTCAAGATGGTGAATCCGATGGTTGAACGTGCCACGAGCGGTATGCTTATCGGTCCTGACTGGGCCGCGAACTTGGAGATATGCGATATGATCAACAGAGATCTTGGGTAGGCGTGATTTACTGGATTACACTTCCCCTCTACTCCGTTTTCAGCTTTTCACTCCTTTTTATTTTTGTTTCATAACTTTGTCATGTTTGTTGAAGTTGTCTTATGAATTCTCGAAGGAATGCATTGTTTGGCTTTCGAATTTGATTACAGGCAGTTGTGGGAGTTTGTTTGTTGTGGCAGTAACTTGGGTATTGGTAGAAATAAAAACTATTTGCCCCCTCAAAGTTTGGATTCCGTCTTTTATTTATTTTATCGTTGTTGCTGATCATAAGATTCTAGGTGAATTGGTGATGAATAAATAGCTGATGATCAATCTTGCTTATCTAGGCTGCTGATAGAGTGCATATATTCTGTTTTTATTTTGTAATTAAGTTGGTACTTGGTAGAGGGAAAAAGAGAAGGGTGGGGGGACGCACACTTTTTTTCTTTAGAATTGAAGCCATTGAAATTATGCAAATATTTTGTCTGATTTATCTTTTCATGAGAAAATGGGAAAAAAACAAATATTATATATATATATATTATGTATATATGTGTGTGTGTGTGTGTGTGATCATTATTATTATTACTTACCTAATGTAATGAGACAAAATCAATATTGTCTTGGAACATGCGTATTGAAGTTTGGTACCTAGAGAATCCTATATTTATCTGTTTTGAAGGATTAGGGAAATTATGTAGGGAGTATTCTTTTCATTATTGTTTAGTGTGGACTAGTTTGATGATGACTTATATCAGGCAAGCAAAAGATGTTATTAGAGGAATAAAGAAGCGCCTTGGAAGTAAAAACCCCAGAGTTCAGCTTCTTGTCCTGACAGTAAGTTATGAACACCCCTATCAGTACCATCGCCTACATTTTAACTAATTTATTGACATGATGTTGCTACTATTTGGTATTTACCTTTCTCGAAAGCTGCCTTGTGACTTTCAAGTATTCAACTCATTTCACCTTTTGTATCTGCCTGTGTATATTTTGCTATTGACATGCCTGCGTGTGCATGTGTAAATGTTGTAGCTCTTGGAAACCGTCATCAACAATTGTGGGGACATTAGTTATTCGCATGTGGCAGAGAAGGATATTCCTCATGAGATGGTAAAAATTGTAAAGAAGAAGGTAAGAGGGGCTTCCTTTTACTTTAACTTTTTGCTCTTTCACAAAAGAAAAAAAAAAGGTTCAGCCTGGTTTCATGGTGCCTATGATGCATGGTGCAGCCTGACCTTCGTGTCAAAGAGAGGATATTACTCCTGATAGATACCTGGCAAGACGCTTTAGGAGGACCAACAGGACGGTATCCACAATATTATGCTGCTTATCAAGAACTATTGGTAAGACCAGTAATAATCTTATTCATGATGTCATGCTGCATATTTCTAAGGGATGGTTTTTGACAGAGCAAATTTCATTATTAAACAATATAATCTTCTTAAGTTCTAAAGAACTTTGTCTGGACCTATATTTGTGTAATTATTTCAGTGTAGGTAGGGCAAAATGATCATCTCAAATGCTTCTTTCAATGACAATTGACATTCTCTGAAAATTTTCCCTTTCAGCGTGCTGGGGCAGTTTTTCCTAAGAAATCTGGGATGTCAGCGCCCGTACTCACACCTCCACAAAGACAACGAGATGGATTGTATAGTCAGAATCCACATAATCCTGACTATCAGCAAGATGCTCCCGGAGTCTCTGCAGATGTTAAATTTTCAACCTTAAGGTACACTTTTGATAGATTGTATGAATGAGCAAAAGAATGAAAGAAAGAAAATATAAGACAGGTTATAGGTTATTTAGTATTACTAGAACATGAATACAAATAATCAGGAAAATTTCTGTATACTTTCCAACTGCACACGATGTGGCACATTCTTTTATATATAATGGATCCAGGAATAAATTCTGATCACGAATAATCTTGTAGCCAAAACAATCAAAATCACTTGATGTATGAAAAAACATATTTGCTGTTTATTTCACTTTGGGATTTGATTGTCTCCCTTCCTATGGGGTTATCGTTTACTATTTAATCAATCCTCGTTTCATGTGTTTATGGTAGAAAATTGGTTGGAAGTAAAGTGTTTAATCTTTTTCTGAAGAAACTGGTAGTTCCACCATTAAACTTGTGTTTGACGTGACAGTTAACTTCATTCTTTTGACATTTTCTTTCTGCAGTCGAAAATACTGTTTTGGGATCTTGTATGACTCTAAATTCCTTTTTCAGCTTGACCGAGATCCAGCTTGCACGGGGAGTAGTGGATGTCCTTACAGAAATGCTAAATGCATTAGATCCAGGGAACAAGGAGGTAAGTTCTTGATTTGAGAAGAGGTTAGATCAATATTCTCATAAAATTGTGTGCTGATAATGGTGGTTTGAGTAGTTATCTAATAATGTAATTTGTAATAATAAATGATTTCCGTATTGTTTCCAATTTTTTTTTTTCATTTCAATTCCTTCTTACCATCAACTTGATGTGACACTTCATTTTGCAGGGCATTAAGCAGGATGTTGTTGTTGACTTGGTAGAACAGTGCCTTAATTATAAGCAGAGGGTAGTTCACCTTGTGAATTCGACATTGTAAGACCTACTTTATATATGTGTGCGTGCGCATATGTGTATGTATGCATTTGGTTTTATATCATGGTCTTTTCAGCTATATTTCTCTATCGCTATGTCATATTATTGTCAGCATACAGTGGAACTGGGAAGTTGGTGTATTTAGGTACTATATTGGACGTGTCATTGTCATGAGAATGCTTTGCAAATTTCCCCTTGGACTTAGATGGTGAAAGTGTCGAGGGGTTAATATCATTGAAATCAGGTGAAAAATATGATGTCAGTACCTATAGAAATCTTTCCTTCGCATTTGGTGATATAGATCGTCCGTTGAAAATGATCTCTGTGTTACTTATTTTTGTGTTCATTAGGACAATATACATAGATGGAGCTTCTTATATACTTGTAGCAATTAAATTTTATGAAAATTTGTTCCCTTTCAGAATATATACAAAGCTCCTCATATTTCAGTAGATACTAATTTCAGCTCTATATTTAGGGATGAATCATTGCTCTGCCAAGGATTGGCACTTAATGATGATTTACAACGAGTACTTTCCAAGCACGAAGCCATTGCTTCAGGAACTCCTGTCCAGAAAGAGAAACCCAAGCCCGAATTGGTTGGAGCATGTCATGATGCTCATCGCCCTCTTGATAATACCAGAGATAGCAGTAAACAACCTGAGAGGAAGTAATTATATTCTTTGATTTCTTCATATTGCTTCAGTATACACACACACACCAGCCTTGTTTTTGCTGAAGATTGAACGGAAGTTCTTGATTATTAAGCTTGCTGGCTTGAGGCTACTGAGTTAGCTTTAAAATTTAGGAAGATACTTGCATAACACTAATCACATGTTTGAAGCTTAGAGTGCTTCTGTCTAGCATCTGCAATTGAAGTGATCACCATCAACATCACTTGTTGAACTTCTTTTTCTCTTTGAAAATTCTTTTGACGAATATTTGCATATTACTATTGTATAACTTCATAATCAGAATCTTTTTATGTTCACCCATTAAATTTGTTTACCATATATTCTTTGGCCATTTTAGCTTTAACTTGTCAGTACCAATGAATTTGTTTCAGCTCGACCTCAAACAGTAGCTCGGGTACAACATCCGTAAATCCATCACTGGTTCTTCCTGCATCTCCTGCCACTGATGCTCCAGCTCCCCCGGCCAAGTTTGATCCCAAATTTGATCTGCTGAGTGGTGATGACTACATTTCTGATCCAATTTCGCTGGCTCTTGTTCCTTTGGGTGAGCAGCAGCAAACTACTCCTTTATCTGAGCATAATGCACTTGTACTTTTTGATGCGTGTTATGATAGCAACGAAACAATTGACGCTGCTGAGACCCAGCCGGGCAATCCTAGGGATGAAACCCATGCTTCAGCCTCACATTTCCAACAGCACCAGAATGTTCAATCTCCACAGGGTGGACTGCATCTCAATGGTTCTGGTCCTGGTCCTGGTCCCTCCTGGAATGACCAGGTTTCCCAGTTGGGACAGCAACAACCCCTGCCACTTTCTCTATTACATGGTTAGTAACTTTGTGTATGCATACTGGAGTTGCGCAAACATTACACATTATGTTATTTTTAAGTAGACATTGATCACCATATAGTACACACCACTACACCAAAGGGGAAAAACAAAGAAAGAACTAAAAAGTATACTAATTGGGTATTCTTGGGAGACAGCTTCCTTTTCCATCCCTTTGTTGATGTGATGTAAAGCAGTGTTTTAAGCTTTGGCCCTCTGCATACGGACAAAGAACATGCTTGCTTCTGTTTCTTGATCTTGAAATGCATGAAAATGAAACGAAGAAATCTCATTGTTTGGGTGGTTGGTTGATCAGGTTCTCAAAACAGCGAGTCATTTCCGCCACCACCTTGGGAGGCGGAGCCTGTGGATGATAATGGCCCGGTAACAGGTGAAGAGTATCCTCACCCAATGAAGGTGACTCAGGTCGTTTTCACGCATGTACAGAGTGGTACATATCCCCACGGACCTCAGCCAGTTTTGAATGACCAAGTTGTAGGTGTGTATATCCAGCCAATTGTGGGCAGCCAGATTGCAGCACTTAATGGCCAGGTTAGTTTCAGCAATCAGCTCGATTATGGAGGATCTTCTGGGGGCATGCTTTCTCGGCAGACGGGGCAGATGGCAGCCTTATATCCTCTGCAAATGTTTGGCAATCGATTCTCTGGCCATGGCCACGTCCAGCCACAGAGGACACAATACCTGGAGCAGCGGATGTATGGGCTATCCATTAGAGATGGTAATGGCATAAGAAATTCATCTTACCGAGTTTCTACCTCGTCTAATGTGCCTCCCAGCAGGCCTTCTGGGCCTGAGGATAATCTTTTTGGTGATCTCGTTGACCTGGCAAAGTTCAAGTCCATGAAACCTACTCCTGCAACTGCTGGTAGCAGGTGAAAATTGATTTCACTTCCTCTAAATCTTTTTGGCTCTCTCTTCTATATTTTCCGCCTATTTTGCTCCTTGGTCCAATTCCTACGCTGCATATCTGGGGCTGGGTGACGTCCACTGTATATACTACACCATTAGGCTTTCTTTGATTTAGGTTTTTAGGCCTTGTAGGAATTTTGTCATTGGAATTCAGAATATTGTGTTGATTTAATTTTGTAATAAAGGCCGTATGGGTGTTTACATTTTTTTTTCCTCACGAAATTCATTGAAATCTACTTACGTAGCTTTACTACAACTCAAACTGTCTTGTCTTTATCGAGTTTTGATCCAGCTCAAGCATGAAAGACATAAAATGACAGATGTTTCAAGCAAGCAATGACTTTCCATTAGAACTGATGGGAATTGTTTTTCTCGTACAGGAATAAGATTCAACTTTATTTCTTCACTTGCACTTAACTTCTCAAATGCATCATAGATTTCCACAAGATCCGCAGGGCCAAGAAAAGCCACTAGCCACTACTCTGGATTAAAAACCTGTCAAACCAATCGCTAGCTTCTTTTACCATCTCTGGTGTCATTTCGTGGCCTATCCCCGGTTGTGCTATGAACTGTAAAACATGAGCATTCACTTTTAAAAAATCTCTAAATTAATTTTAAAATAAAAGAAAAAAAAAAAAATTTTCAAGCCCTTAAAACTTATTGTAGACTACAACTATCAAAGTGAAGAGTGGGAGAGATATTGTCCGATAATTTATGCATATAATTTCGTAACAAAATGAGTGATGATGATGAATTGTAAAGCAAGCTCTGTATTTATTTTGCTTTGCACGATTCTCCAAGTGAACAGAAAGAGCAAACATTGTTATTAGAGAGAAGACATCCCGATATGAACTAGAAGTGCTAAATTTACTAGTGGAAAAGTTAGGTTCTAATTTAAAAAATAAAAATGCAAAATTGCAGCCTGAAACGTAATAATATGTTTAGGTATTGAAATTCTAAATTCAAACCAGATAACCCATGTATACATATTACATACCTTAAAATTGTCTGGGCAACCAAGCTTCCGATAAGCTGTCTGTGTTCTTGATACGGGAGCATCCAAACCTCCAATTGGACAACGAGGGTCATCTGCACCTATTGTTTCCAAATTCAAATGGCATATTAAATACATTTGAACAGAGATACCATTCGATTTTAAATTCAAAAATACCAGGAGTGGAAAAACATATGCAGTTATAATTGCAGGTTATGGCGTACTTGTGTCTATAAAATTAAGAGATCCACCTATTTTTCAGGCGAGTTTATCTTTAAGGAGACAACCACCTTGTGTTTACTGACATGATGTCAGGACTACTGGATACTTATAAATAAAGGACCAGTTTTTCTGTTCGAACTGCATATTTTAATCTTCCAATTTCTCTAGATTTGATGTTGGTTTGTGATTATAATGATATAATATAAGCAGGATACGAACATTACCATTTAATAGCAACAAAGGGCGTGGTGCAATAGCTGGAACTGAATAAATCGAGTGAAATTGGGAACTCAAACCAGGAGCAATCCTATTCCAGACCTGAACAAAATATAAGAATAAATGATGGTAATTCAACTTCAAATTGTAACACACCACCCAACGTTAACTTTTCATTAAGAACATCCTAAAGGCCAAGGAGATACAGAATCCCCTTGACTAAATGGGGGATCAAATAAACACCCCCAACAATATAGAACAACTATTTGGGGATAAGAACAATATAGAAATAGGTTGGGATAAATGGCAATAAAAAAGTAGCACACTATCTAGGTCTAGATCAACAATCCTTAAACCAGGAACTTGAAAGAATAGACCTTCTCCACCAATTCTTTGTTGATCTCACTCAGGCCTAATTCAATTCGTGCTTCTGCAGACAAGATACAAAGACAGGTCATGTGTGTATTGATAAAGTTATTCATATTTTCAAATTATCATACCTTTAAAAGGCTCACACAAGAGGTTACAGTTAAATCTGATCTTGCTTATCAATCAACTATAATTAATTATTTCATTTTGTCTTTAATTATTTAACGTTTTCTTCTTCCTAGCTTCTGTTTTGTGTGTGTAACCATACACCTTGTTCAATTCTTTACCAATTACCATGCACCTTACCTTCAAAAACGGGTTTTATACTCTCAACTCGGGCCTGCCACTTATCATGATCAATGGCCCATCGAAAACACTGCAATCATATCGCACGAGTATCAGTTGACCTCCCTTTTTCCTTTCCAGAAAGGAATGTTACTAACACAAGATCCGGAGTGTTAACAGTTGGGTTAATTACCTGTACACCAATTATGGGGACAACCACAGCATAGCGGGTGTCAGCAGCAGCAGCAAACCATGCATGCATTCCTGCAGCGAAAATCTGAAGAGGTAAGATTTGTATAACAAAGGAAAGGTAGTCCTAATTTGGTCCATATTGTTTTACTTTGACTGACCTCCAAGTGATTCACCAGTAATCCCTATTCTAGATGGGTCAACATCCTCCCTTTCCGTCAGATAATCCGCCAACTTTATCAAGTCCCATGCCTGCAAGTAATATAGTCTATTAGCTTTTTGTTAACAAAAGTCACCCAATTAATTAAACTGAAGTTTCTCCATTTTCCATCTTAATCTGTCAGTAACATTTGCAGCTAAATGTTCATTTGTCATCGCATTAATTCAGTTACCAAATTGAATGAGGATCTACCGTGTCAAATATGAACGGCATGGTGTCACCTCTTTTCCATGAAGATATAAGAGCCTGCACTAGATTATGACATTAAGTTAGGATTTAACCTTGTAGAAGAAAAGAGCACTTTGTTTAAAGACTAGAGAGGATCCAAATGCCATAGTAGCATAAATTACTCAAAAGAAACTATATTACTGGTCTATCACTTACTAAATTACTGGTTTATCTCAAATCTAAAAAAGGAATAAATACCATAATAGCAGGTTTAGTTTCCCGATTCAGAAGAAGATTAAACACCTCCAAAGAAACTAAATTACTGGTCTATCACTTACGTGGCAGCCAGATTCAATAAAGTTATAACTTATAGACCAATTCAGTGCCTGAGACTCTGGGAAATCTCAAGACCTTGCTAGTTTCACCAGTGGGTGACAAGCCAGTTAAAGAGTGCATACTTTTTATTGCTGAAAAACTCACAGATAAAAGACAACTCAATTGGCTAGCTAGAAGAAACTAAAGCTACAATTGGCATACATCACGGTAAGTGGTTTTGTCCTTGGCCCTTTCACCATGGTAACGAGAATCAATGGCAATGGCTACATATCCCCTCGATGCATAAGCCTGAAAAAGGCAATAGTATATTGTAATAATCTGGTTATAACAACTTGGTGATAATATCAAAATGTAAGAGCAAAAGGAGCTGCTACCTCAAGCAACGGTCTCAACCACTCTTTGCACTTGTTTGTACTGTGCAGAAAAACAATTGCAGGTCTTCTTTGCTGTCTGCTATCCTTCATACTAATAATCAATATGGGCAATTGGCCTTGCTCTCCTTCCTACATTGATTATTCAATAACTACGTTATTAGTTTTATCCAAAAAAAGACTATATTATTTGTTCCTTACAATTAGCATACGGGCTTAACAACCAAGAAATTATTGTTCTTATCTAAAATATGGCAGCAGATATTTTACTGAATATTTTGCATGGATGAGAACTTTTGGTCTAGTTGAACTCCTAATATACCGTTAAATCATGCCCCAATTACAAGTTAGTGTGAAAAGTATAAGAGCATAGCTTGCCTCCGTAGTCAGATAAAGATTTTCCTCGTGAAGCAAGTCCTTCAAATTGCTAAAATTTTCCTTTGGACAAGATGCCATCGCCTTCAAAGTTCAAACAGGTAAAATAAATCAACATAGTTTAGGCTACTACTTAAACAAAGATGAAAAAATAACAAAGAACCAGTAATACTTCAACCTTACTGAAGGTTGGCGGGTTGGCCTCCTGAATCAGAGGGTGGTGGACAGGCATTGCGGGCTTCACACTTAGCGGAGCTGAGAAATTCAATCACACATTCAATATCGCCAAATTAATAGACATCATAAACTCATAATTTCTGTAGGTAGGCCAATTAAATACAGTAATTTATTGTTACTACATGAATTTTCTTCAGTGTTAGTCTTGGCTACCAAGTATCACAAAAAGAAAAGACAATATGCCCGCTACCTAAAAAAGACAAAAAAAAAAAACGGGGGGGGAGATCTTAGAATGAAAACTTCCTATTTCTCACGAAAAGGCAAAACGATGTTCAAAAGAGGTAAAACGGAAGAAACTGGCATCGCCTAAGCAAAATGACGACGACCCTTCAAATCAAGCTAGAATTTCTGCAACAAAATGCTCGAACTTCTCATTGACCCAGACCAGACATCAAAACATTAAAGGTAACTAAAACAGCGAACAGAAAAATAAAATTCGAATTGAACTTCGCACCTTCTCCAGATCGTCGACTACGCAGAACCCGGAGGAATTCGCTCCGGAACTTGTCGGCGTCAACAAGAGCTTCTTCCATTTGACTGGCTTCGCGTTGACAACTTCCCCTGGCTGCAACCTGGAACGAGAGTTTATTGGGATCGGATTTTTGCGGGTTCCATGGCAAAGTTGGTGCGCGGCAAAGGCAAAGACACGTGAGGGAAGGGCGAAGTCGCACGTGAGATATGAGAGGTGCCATTTGGGGCCGCTGAGCATTGAAGCAGAGCGCAGAGGCGAGCCAAGGCGGTCCACACCCTGGACCCTGACGCAGAGTTGCTGCTTTTTCTTTTTCTTTTTCTTTTTCTTTTTTCTAATCAGTGAACGATTCCTTTTTCTGATCCATAAAATATGGCTGCTTTATTTTGCACTCAACAGAACAGGCACTCGCCCAACGTCGACAACGACCGTCTTAGCTGTATATTAATATAATACTATTGGTTATTTTTTATATAATGCCAGCTTCTGTCAATCACAATTAATCATCTAAAATTAAATAAACTTAATTTAACTGAAGTATAAATTTAAAATGAATAAAATTTGACTCTTCATCGGTAAGGACCACTACTGAGTATTTGACAACTCATTATATTTTAAAATAAAATTTTATTTTCTTATTTCTCTCTTTTAATTATCAAAAGTTTAATAATAGCGAGGACAAAGTTACCCTAGAGTAAGAAGCCAAGTTTTATCAAACTTAAAAATGAGTCTTTCCCTTGACTTGATGCATTCTCTCCCTTATCCTATTCTTCTCATTGAGACTAGGGTATCTAATATTTTACGCATACAACCAAACCAAGTGAACTTGTTTTAAAGTGGCCGACATATATGATAAAATTAACATATATACAGAATAATTTCTTTACACAACTATATATATTAAAGAAATTGATTATTATATTGTAGAATCAAAATGTTTTAAGGAATTGGATATGAAGAATAATGCATGTGGTTTTGGACAGGAACGTAACTCCTTGAGGAAAGTGAAGTCATATATTATTTATTTGCCGATGTAGAGATATGAACAAGTGGAGTATATGCATGTGTAAGCTGTGGATGAATTCAAACCCTTTAAAAGAAAAGGAAAAGGAAGCAGTTCAATACATGAATTTAGACCCTCTAAAAGATGCGCAGAGATTGAAGAGGGCATAAAGTGAACTTAATTAAATGATTCTTTTCTTTAGTAAATATATATGCATAAAGCGTGGATGTGCGAAGCTGATTAAATAATTTGGGGCATAAAGTAAATTTATACCTTTCGATTACGATTTTTGGGTAGCATGCCAAAAAGAAGGAACTTAATTGGCTGCATTATTAGCTGCCCTTTTGAATGTAACATGCATGCCACCATGATCTACGGATATTATCCACAAGTAAAAGAACACTGTGAAATATCTGCAGTAAACCGTGCAGAAGTCAAGACAGCAATATCACTTCAAATATTTTTCGTATATTTAGATCCAGCTACCGTACGTACACCTCGAGGCTTGTGATTCACGGAACTGCATGCATTGCTGACACACAATAATAATCTTTGGTCCGACAATGCATATTACGTTCTAAGGTAGTACGAGAGCTGCCTCTTGTCATGTCTGGGACACATTTCTGGGAATGAAGAAGCACTCCCCGAGCACTAAAAATAAATACAAGAAGCAAATCAATTCCAGTATGTCTAATTTAACAACACCACATGAAAATTAATGTTGTGGTCCAGAAATTAGAAAATATCGTGGCTTCAGTTTATGCTCATATCTATTATGATCAAGATATACTAACAAGGCTACTACAAAAGATTTACTCATGGGTGGGACAATTCGTTCTAGCTCGTGCTGCACTAAGTAGACCCACCAGAATACTTTCCCAATTTTAAGGAACTAGCTGTTTTGGCTGACTTGAGGTTAACAAATCCATATGCTAAGGTTGTATATGTTTCCACCCTCTCCTCAACCTCTAAATTCCCTCTGTCATGGGTAGCCCCGACTTTCATAGGTACTTGATTCGATCTCCTAATTAAATTAAAATACCTTGAAACTTTAAAGAAGTGTGGAGCGACCACTTGGTTATGGCATAGGTCCAAGCCTACACAGTTTTAGGTGTTTGAATTAGGTCTTTGACTGTACTCAATGGTCTTCTAAATAAGGAATAAAAATAGGGTAGCCTCCTGATACCGCTTATGCCCCCACATCAAAAGCATTATTCCAAAGATATTTACAGGACGAAAGTTTTACTTAAAGCCACAGCTTATGATATCATGGACTTTTGAGATGACATTTAAAAAGGACAAACCTACCTTGGATCAGTAATAGGGAGGGGCCTTTTCTAGAAGATGACGTGTCTAAACTCAAGGGGCCTTGAGATAAATGTAACTTAAAAAACTTATATTCTCTTCATTTTGAGAATTCAATATTTGTATGATTCAGTAATTTTAATAGAATTGGTAAACCCAAATTAAAAAATATGTATATTTCCACATTTAGAGGGGGAAAAAAGCAATACAATTCGGCAATTTCAGCGCTTCTCTAAGGGAAGAGGGGTTGGACTGCAAAAGTCCAAATATAGAAAACAAAGATTTGATGGTCTAATCTACCCGTCTAGATTTCGAATCCTTCTAATCCAAATTGAGGTGGAGGAAAGAAGACTGGACAATTATCCCCAGTTTATATTATTAAGAATTTAAACTTTTCTTCTAATTTGCACTCCTGATTTTTTCTAATTAAAAGATCATATTATGTACAATTAAAGTGTAATTTTTTTTGCCCTTGCTTATGTACAAAAAAGAAAAAGTCTAATCATGTTATAAAAGTAAAATAGACTAATAATCACTGGCCATTATGCTGCTTATTCAAGACACAACCGAACATTTGAAACTAATTAAAAACAAGTAACCCAAAATTTGACTCAATTTCAACCATGCAGCCTTTTTTTTTTTTCCCTCACACTCTTTTTAGAGCTAAATAATAGCAAGGAGGGGCCTCATACTTACAACTTCTGATATAGATATTGGAGCCATTTCATTGGACATACGTAATTTTTTTTGCTCTCGCCAACCACAGATGTAAATAAATACACATACAGATAGTAATCCCGTACCAACTGAGAAAGAGAGAGACATTAGATTAAATCAATCATCAACCTAAACGGGTATAATGTTAAATTCTACCCCAAACTAAAATCCTAGAACGTTCCCATTCTAATCACGTGAGTTGGAATCTTCACTCTACGAGTTCTAATAAAAAAATAAAAAACAAAATTTGTTTATTAGTGCAAAAAACTACTAAAAATTAGAGCAAAGAAAGATCCTCCATAAGTCAAGAATTTTGTACCAAGGGCGTGGGGGATTGATGAAAATACGGCAACTATTGCGATTGCGGTACCTTTCCACAAAAACCAACAAAAGCGACTGAAATATCCTGACTTCGTGGTGTGGCCGAAAATGCGAATGTCGTTCCCGTGTCTCTAAACGTAATCGCAAAATTGATACGGATTATGTGATATTTTGCTTCAGAATCCGTCCTCGAGTGCAGCTGGCCGCTCTGTTAGAACAGAACTACCCTAATTCGTCGTTATGCAATCAGCCACGAGATCTACTCCTTCTGCCAAGGTTGGGGCAAAATTCGAAACCGCTCCAGTTTGCTACGCTAATCAGATTGATGAAAGAATATCAGAAAGCAAAAAACATAAACGGATCAATGTCCCGCGATCAATCTTTACATCTGAATTCCAGCGCTGAAAGAAAATCAAACATCGAACAGTTAACGTACTGAATATTGTAAAAAAAAAAATGATGGCAATCTGTACGGACGAGAGAAACTTGCGAAGTTAGTAGAGCTACTGCCGCCGGAATCCAGAACTCGTAAGGTACCGTCTAATGAGAATGGGTTTTCTCTGTCGGTGCGTTTGAAATTGAATTTCGATGTGGGAATTAATGATCGGACGGGTGAAATTAAAGATCGATGTGATCACTGGGCAGGTACCGTCTGATGGGAATGGGTTTTAGGTTTCGTCCATCAAGCGGTGATCCGGTGAGCCATTTTGGCGCGAATCGGGTCAAGCAAGCATCGGCGCGATTCGGTTTGGTGCCCGCGAGCGCGAGGGCGATACAAAATATCTGATTTCTTTCTTCTTTTTTCCAATTCAATATTTTAAATTTAAAAAGTAATTTTACAAATATTTAATTACCATGATTCTAAAATGATTTTAAGTCGGTGACTTTTTTTTATAGTTGACTTTTAAAGTGTTCCTTAAAAAAAAATAATTTTTTAAAATTAATTTAATTATTTCAAAAATAATTTTTATTTGTTATCCAACGCTCCAAATAAAAGTAAAAAGAAAAAACTTTATTAATCACTTACAAATCATGCTAAACACATTTTGAAACTATTTGTATTAAATTTTAGTAATTAAAATTTTTATCGAATGATATTTAATTTTAAAATTTTAAATAATTAAAATTTTATTTATTACAGACTAGCAAAAAATTGACTCTCAAATTTAGAAAGAAAATTAATTAAAAGAATAAACCACTGTCCTAATCTTAAAAAAGCCACAAAATATGTCGTTTTTTGTATAAATACAAAAGTGGAACAAATGTTGTTACCCAATAATTATATAGGGTTTGTGTAACAAATGATCTAGTGAAGTTAGATTGACTAGGTGAGATGGGTAGATCGGGATGAACTGAAAAATCACTCGACAAGGAAGGACATGAACAAGGTAACAAACGTTTCAACGTCCAAGTCAGTTTAGAGTTTGACTTTAGTATTAGAACCGAACTAGAATGTGATACCTCATTACGGAATAAGTATCTCTTGTTGTTGGGTATCCAACAAAAAATTTGATCGCTTGTTGGATGCGCACGATATGGGTAGGTAAACTTTCCGTATGATCCTCCTTGAAATTTGACTAAGTGTTGTAAGTCGTTCTAGGGGAAAAAGCATGCATCTGGGACCATCATGATCTATCACTCTCTGTCTGGATATACCAATCAAAATTAGTACGTGCTCATTCAAGTATAGCTCAACACGTATCAATAATGCATATTCTATTTTTGAAGAAACTATTACCATATGGAAAATAAAATCGAAATTCATAATTAAACAATCATACAAAAGATAGTACACGTGAAATTTATTGAGTAGTGGAATTTTTCTGTCATGTTATCTTACAGCGTCAGTGCCAAAGGAGTGGTAGAAATTCAAGATGGATGATGGGCAAAACGGCAGCCATTAAGCACAATATTGAAAGGAAGTGGTTCTGTCAACGACAGTTTTGAGTCAAGCAATGCAACCTTTCTT